GCAGGTGCTTTATTCCACTGAGCTATGTGGCCGGCCCCAACCCATTCTTATTCATGCAAGTCCTATACACTTGATGGTTACTGTTCTTTTCTATCTTAGCTGGTAATAACAAAATATTAAGCCTTCCCTGTTCATGTCCTCAGGCATCGATGTCCTTGGACTTCCGAGCTAAAAATCAATCTTCTGATTAACCTCACATAATCAGGATAAATAGGCCAATTTTCTGTACCCTATTATGGCCCAGGCATTTGTTTTAAAAGTTTTTTTTTTTTTTTTTTTTTTTTTTTTTTTAACTTAGGCTCCATGAATGTGGAGTGTAATTGATGAGTCCTTAATGTCAAACTGGAGTAAAAACAAAACAAACAAACAAAAAATTGTCAAATGAGTACTTTGGGGCTTTCTCTGCATGTTTATTCTTCTACTGAATCTAAATTTTGAGAATTCTTCCGGGTGTCCTGGTGCAGCCTTCTGCTCCTAGAACTGCAGGAGGCTGAGATGGAGGGGAGGATTGCAAATTTGAGGCAGCTCAAGCAATTTATTGAGAACTTTTCACAAAATAACATTTGTTTAAATTTTATTCATTTATTTATTTTTGGTATAGACATAGAAGTCTGTTCTTTTTTTTCCATTATTTTATTGAGAAACAAATAGCAATGAGACAGTTTCAAATCAAAGTGGTAGGACAATTTCAATAATTAACACATTGCATACTCTCTTCCTAGTGGTTATTTGCAAAAAAACATTTTTGAAAAGGGCTAGGGATGTAGCTCAGGGTGATGACCCTGAGATCCATTCCCAGCACCAACCAAAGCAAACCAGTCTAAACTAAAAAAACTAAACAACAACGAATAAAAAAGAAAACATTCAACAGATATGCATTAAGTATCTAGTATATGCCAGTTTTCTTCTAAGTTCTGGGGCAAAAAAGTGAAAAGATGTCCAATACAGGGTAAATTAAGTATGACAGTCACATATTAAAAAGTTAGCTCACCATGAAAATAGGCATGCAGGAATATTGCATTACACATCAAATGATATGCATGACATAATATGAATAGTAAAGCAGAGAGGATAGATATTTGCATGTTTTTAGGTTTTTTTTTTTTTTTTAATGTATTTGGTTCAAGGTCTCACTATGCAGCTTGGACTCATAGTGATCCTCCTGTTCTCAGCCTGCTCCAGCACTGAGATTACAGGCATACACCATCACATCCAGTCTCGGTGGCCAGTTTAGCACCCCTGGGGGTGGGGCTGCCGGTGGGGCAGGTGGTGACAGGGATTGAACCCCAGTCCCTGTGCTTGCTGTAGCTCAGTGGGCTATCTTTTTTTTTTTTTTTTTAACGGAACCAGGGATTGAACTCAGGCTCTTGCTTGCCAAGGAAGCACTTATTCCACTGAGCCATCTTCCCGACCCCTCAGTGGGCTATCTTGCCAGCTCTCAAATTATTATTTTTGGTACCTACACAACTTAGTTGTTGTCTAGGCTCTCAAGTTTGATTTGGCTTTCTGTAGGAACCTTGCCACTTACTTTTTGGTGTTAGGTAACTGGCTGAGATTTTCTTTATATGTGCTTGGAAATTCCATTAGTTTATTTCACATTTTTGTGTCACCCAAAACTTTAAGTGATGCCTTTGAAAACTGATGTAAGATAGGGTGACAGTTGCTCTTGAACCCTAAAAGGCAAGCAAGTGGGCTGAACCAAAATTGAAAATAGGACCCTGTGGATGAGTGGGGAGGTCTTAAATTTGCTTTTAGATTCACAAATTTGCCTTGAATATATTATGCAAATTATTTAATAGAGATTTTTCAGATTGCTTACAAATACAGGAATGAGAAATTTCAGTAACTCATTGCAGATCAGCATTCGCTCAAAACTCTTCCAGCAAAAGAGATAGTAAATCACTACTTCTAAATTTGTCCTTTTAAATGTGGTTATTTATTAGGATGTACTTTTTATCTGTAAGTGAAATGTTTATCTCAGATATATTACTCTATATTTCATGGAGGATCTATGGAAAATACACTCTACCATGTTAAGGAAAAATTGTGATAATGTACCTGTTTTTTACAGCTAATTTTATAGTTTGTAGGAAAAAAGCCAAGTGATGGGCAACACTTGGTTATTATGCATGAACTAGCTAATTCACTGGGCTTTTAACTGGAGCTTCCTCTCCCACTGTCAATCATAGGTTCTGGTGAAATAGAATCTCAACATAATTAAGAGACTAAAGCCAATATGTAACACTCCCGTAACTCATTTAAAAATCAAGTACGAATGATTTAGTCATAACCTAGCCTTATATGCCTAAATGTTTTACATTAACACTGCTGTTACATTCTGTGTGTGTGTGTGTGTGTGTGTGTGTGTGTGTGTGTGTGTGTATATATATATATATATATATATATATGCTCTGAATTTAAGTTATAGACAATGGAGTAAGGAAATCAGTTGAAATAGGAAATAGAAATGGATTTTAGTACAATATTGTGTACATCATTAATGTTATAAATGACTTTCTCATGACCAACTTTGTAAGCTATCTGAGGCAGCGCATCTATTATAAAAATGTAAAGTATTATTGAGAGAAAGCAACTTTTTTCAATCTATGAATTAATCTTTCCTTAAGACAGAGGAGTCAGTCTTCCACTTGGAATCGCCTATCATTGTAATGTATTTTAGACATTATAAAAGCAAAAGGTTAGCATGCCAGAAAATATGATGGAAGATGATTCCACTGGAAATAACAACCAAGAAGTCAAAATGCCTGAGAATAATCTTAGGAAATATTCAAACTTAATATGAAGAAAAGAAGAAAATTACTCATGAAAGTAAAAGGAAAAGATTTGACTGAGAGATACAGTGACTTCTAAGATAGAAAGCCAGAATATAGTCTGAATATAAAATAAGTCATATTTTTGTGACAATCTGCACAGTTATTCTAAAGTTCTTCTGAAAGTAAATGTTTAGGGGAATCGGAAGGTAAGAGTAGCTGTAAATGAAAAATAAAGGTAAGGCATGTCTACGTACCTGAGATGGAAATTTATCATAAAATTTCCAAATTGAAATGCCATGGCTTTGACATCATCCAACAGCTCACTAGAGGATACTGGGAAACTAGGGCCCAGTGTGCTTTGCGGTTTAGTGGTATGCGAAAGATGAATTTTCCGATCTGGGTGGACAGTGTCAATTATTCAGTAAGTGGCAAATTCCCTGGAAAAAAGATACATGTCTACTTTATAATTTCCACAAAAATACATTACTAATAAAGGTTTTAGTAGAAGAAATTAAACTATAGGTCTAAAGATATAGCACCACGGCAAAGTACCTATCTGGCAAGCGCAAGGTTGTTAGTTCCATTCTTGAAACTAACCAAAAAAAAAATTAAACTATAGAATTATTCAAATAAAAATATAGCTGGATATTTATATACATTGGAGTGGAAAAGGTGTTTCTATGAGTGCCACCAAATATATTTCTCATGAAAGAAAAGACAAATTTAACTCCATCAAAAATTGCATATGGCAAAATATGATACAAGCTAAACTTGCATAGTATCAGCACAGTCTTCTTGATAGTCCCAAATGTTTCTTGTGCTATGTTGTTTGTCAGGGTGAAGAAGGTGACCAGGGAGAACCAGGAGACGCTGGAGCTCAAGGACCTCCGGTAAGTATTTTTAAAAGTATCACATTTTTATATAAATATTTTTGCAAATGACTCATGGAACATTTTTGATTTACCACATAGATTAATAGCATTATATCAACACGGTATTTTCCATTTTCCCACCAATCCACAATGAGAGACAACCACCTATTTGAAAGCACATATTTTAACTAAAAATTGTAAATACAATTACACATATTCATTTAGTAGACTGCAGGCCTAGGCAGTCTGAAGATGGACACTGAGCCCAAGATACTAACATCTCTGTTACGTTCTAAGGGGCTATCACATGACATCATGGGAAAATGTTGTACGCCTGGAATAGGCAGTAGGTGTGAAATCCATTGGGGTAATGTAGCTGTTGTTGCATGTAATCCTCATAATTAGAACATTCCTATTTGTTTAGAATCCTGTCCTTTCATAAAATGTTGGTTGCTTGTGCTTAGGAAGACTTAATGCAATAATTTCTAAGGTACCTCGGCTTCAGCGTACTTCAATTTAAAATGTTTGCAAAGTCAAAAGTTAAGTTATTTTTGGATTACAGCAATATGCAGTTGGCATGCTGTTTCCTTGTCAAAATGGATGACAAATATGGAAATAGTGGATGCAGAACTGTCATTGAATGCTGCAGCTAGCGTGGCTGCTCCTCACGGAACAGACGGGCTCAGGTATCATGGGAGAGAGGGAGGGGGCCCAGGCACCTTTGTCTGGTCCACAGGACCACCCTCTGCCAAAGAGACTAGGGAACTGCGCACGCATCAGTGTTTACCTAGAATTTAGAGGCAATCGAGCTCAAGGAAACACATCATGGAATCTGCGAGAACCAGGCTCTGCTTTTAGGCCACGTGGAAATTCCAGGCGCTCCAATTCCAGGCGCTCCCGGGAGGAGTGCAATGTTTGTTCTGGACACTGGAATAGCCTGAACCTCTGATGAGAGAGCAGAAGGGGCCGGGCCTGTTTCCTGGGGCAAGGAGAAGGAAGCAATAGTGGTGAACAGTGTAGATCAGTTTTTGTTTTTATCTTCCTTTGTCCTGGGCATTGGCCCCAGGACCTTTGCACCGAGCTACATCCCCAGCCACTTTCATTTATTTACATTTAGACAGGTCTTGCTAATTTGCTAAATTAGCCTACCAGGTGAGATTCTGACTTCAGATCCTCCTACTTCATCCTTCCAGAGTGCTGGGGCTGCTGCTGTGCCCCACCATGCCTGGCTTTGTTCTTGGTGTGATGAAAGTTCAGTAGGGATTCAAAAGTTTTCGGAGATCAAGTATCAATGCTGAGTGGGGCATGCAGTGTTTCTTGTCCTTTTGGTGATTGGGGGCAGGGCTGTCACAAGGTTTCCATGGGAATCAGATGTTAATTCTATGAATATATGTGCATGTATATATAAAATATATATATGCACATATATTATTAATGTATAGATTTTAAAAACGTATCTCTTGGCATATTTGTATAAAACTGCATTCCTCAAAGGGGTCATTTCCAGAGACTACGTGTAGAATCTCTCGTCACTGCTATTGACTCAAGTACTTTTTGAGTTCTTCGTGTAGCAACACCTTCAGAGTTGGTACATGATCCCTACAAGAAAGAGCACTTGGGGCCAGCGAGATAGCTCAGCGGACTAAAGTGCCTGCTTAGGCAAGCTTAGGTACCGCGATTCTGTCCCTGGCACCACATACCATACCAGCCCTGCCCCCAGGCCAGGCTGAGCTGGCAAAAAAAAAAAAAAAAAAGAGCACTTTAACATAATGTGGCCACATTTCTGCAGAAATCCTAAGTGGCTGCCCTAAGCTGGTCAGCCTTCACACTGGAATTTCAGTCCATCCCTGTAATGGTCTATACGTTGTGTCAACTCGAGAAGTTTAGAAGTTTAATTAGTGACTCAGCAGGGAGCCAGGATTTCACTTTGTAAACATCTTCATCCTATGCAAGAGGAGTGTCTGGACACTGTGTGAGTTCTACAGCTGCAGCCCCAGGGCAGTTTGTTGATAATATAAGGAGCGGGGAGAGGCTGGCTAGAAGCCGCTGCTACCCTTCCCCTTGCTCTTCACTGTTTTCTGCCACCATGAGCTGCTGCCCTCTGCCATGCGCCACTCTGCCTGGGAGCCAGCCAAGTATAGACTGAACCTCCCCAAACTATGAGCTAAATAAACTATTTCTGCCTTAATGTTGGGTTTTGGTTATTTTGTCCCGGCAATGAGTGAAACGTAACTGAGACAATCCCTGACTGAAATATGCAGAGTCTGTGGCTGGCCTCCATGGAGCGCTGGCTATGGATGTGCCTCTTCTTCTCCCAGTGGAAACACGAGGCAAATGGCTGGCTTAGAGCTAATTTACCTTAAACCAGGGTGGAGAGTTCCACCATGTCCCCAAGCAGCTTCTTTGCTATGAGGTATGTGGTCCCAGGGGCTCCAAGGGGACTCCTGCACTCACCCTTACCAAACAAGGTCTCTTCCTGGAGTCTTCCCATGTAGACCAAGAATATTGAATGGGCCCATTTCAGGAGTGGCGGGGACTCTATAAATAGTAACAGTGCCCCCACTTTTGGGGCGGTTCCCTCCTGTGTCTGAGACGAGGTAAGATGGGTTACTCCTACCCCAGTGCAGAACTCAGAATGTGTTTTACTATCAAAGTGAAACCCCACGCGAGAGTGACGATATGGGTTTGATAAAGACTCCAACTCCATTTCTAAATCACAGGCTTCTGTGGATTTCCTAAAATCCACTGCTTTGGGTGGTGGATATTGGTGGGAAAAATTATTCAGGCTTTAAAATCTTGTTCCACATAACTAAGTCACAACTATGCAGGAATGGCAGTGAAAGTTCTGTACATGAATTAGAAGAGAAGTTAAACCCATGATCAGAGTTGCTTGTATGCCCATGATGTTTATTTTCTGATCATCAAAGAGTTGTGCCAACTCAACTATTAAATATTTGTATAAGTCTCCAGACTTTTAGTACAGAGTTTTATCATCAGGGTTCTTCTTGGAATTTTCCTTCTACAAAAGAAAAATGTGTCTGTTTTCGGGCTGCTTGTTGCTTCTGGTTATGATAACCTCTTTCTTCTGGATCAGCTTTGGAGATAAGACTTTGAGCAATGTTTGCTTTAACTGAAATAATTAACTTTTCCTTTCTGTCTTTCCAGGGAGCTCAAGGCTTGAGAGGCATTACTGGCATAGTTGGGGACAAAGGAGAAAAGGTAAGATGGTGATGATAATAGTATAATATCAAAATGCATTAACTATTTAAAAATATGGCCATTTAAAAGTCACTTCTTAAGCAACGTCACTTGATGCTCTTCAGATGCGCATAGTTAGGGTCTCACATTTCTGTTGTACGCGCTGTTGACATGAATGAGCAGCACGTGTGATGTTTATCATCCGTCACCTCTTGGTGTTCATGGAGTTGGTTACAGGATCCAGCCTCGCCTGGAGTACCAAGCTGTGCACATGCTCAAGGCCCTTATGGAATGTGGACTAATATTTGCGCACAGCCTGTGAGCTGTTAAATCCTCTTTAGGTTATTTCCAATGACGACTACAAGCCCACGCTCTGTAAATAGTTGCTATCCTGCATTAGTTAGGGGATAATTACAAGGAAAGATGTCTTTACATGCTCAGTGTAGAAGCAATTATTCTGCAAATATTTGCATCCATGGTGGGTCGAATACTTGGGTGTAGAGCACTGTATTCTGTGTGTCTGCTGTCTTGGGAAATTAGAGTAAGCGGACCGTTTGTCATATTTGTTGAGCATCCTCAGAAGTTCTCACGGAGTGCTGGGCAAATAGCTCCGTGGATTAAAGCGCCTGCAAGCAGGCGCAGGGGCCAGGGGTTCATTCCCCGGGCCTGACCCCAGGGCACACTGCGATGACAATTGAGACTGGGCATGGTAGCACACACCTGTAATCCCAGCTCTTGTGAGGCTGTAAACAGGAGTATCACTATGAGTTGGATCTAGTAGTGAGACCCTGAACACCCTGTAGACCCTTCCCTAAAATACAAAAAAAAAAAAAATTCTCACAGAGAAACTGGCTACCTCTCTTACTTCTGACCAAGAGAGGCAGAGACAGAGGCAGCAAGAAAGGAGAGAAGAAGGTAGGACACGTCCCAGGATGCCCTGAAGTCCTGCTCACGAGCCAGCAGGTCCTCTTTAAAATGTGTTTAGGGCTGGCAAGATAGCTCAGCAGATTAAGCGCCTTCTTTGGCAAGCACAGGGACCAGGGGCACACTAAGCCTGAAACCAAATCTGGGTGTGGTGGTGCACACCTGTAATTCCAGTGCTGGGGAGGCTGAAAACAGGAGGATCTCTGCGAGTCCGAGCTGCATGGTGAGACTCTGTACCAAATACATTAAAAAAGGTGTTAATACACACGGCGAGTTGCAGAAGGCAGGTTTGCCTAGCACTTCCTTTGGAAGGGATTTTACAAGCTTCTAGGAAGCTCTGCAGAGGTAGAAAGCCTGCATAGGGGGCTTGTCACTTACTCCGAGAGGATTAAGCCAAAGGCTAACCATAAGGCCAATGAGGGAGATAGAAGTGAATCCGAAGGCAGGTCCAGGAGAGCTTGTAGATGAAAGAGGGACTATGGAGGACCCCACGTAGGTGGTATCCAGAGGATGCCTGGCCCAGCTGTGGAGTGCTACTGATGGTTAGGCTAGCTGAGTGAACACTGCAGGAAAAAATGAGACTCATATGCTGACAAGGCCCTCAGGAATGTGTTCCTTGACTCTGTGTGTGTGTGTGTGTGTGTGTGTGTGTGTGTGTGTGGTGTATCTAGCTTCTCTGTCAGACAACAGTCACCACATCTCAGGAAGTACACGGTGGGAAAGCCACCTGGAAAATTAAAAATCATTGTTGCCCCCCGCTTCCGGCCTGCCTCTGCCTTGTCAAGGTTAGGAAGACAAATGTGTTGGTGCCATACAGCATCGCAGAGCCTTTTATTAACAAATGCCTACAAGCCACACATTGTTAATGCTTCACACGTGAAACTCAACCTTTTTTAAATTATTGAGATGCACAGCTGTGTGAACTGAAAGCCTGGCTCATTTACCATTTTTTATTTAAATTTCACTTTTTTTTTTCCAGTCTCTCTGTCTCTTCTAGCCGATTTCTTTTTGCCTGCCTCCTTCTTCTATCTTCTCTTGAATATTTATTTCCTAAAAACATTGCATTTAAAACAACATATTAGTCTTGCACTTTGTTATATTTGGACTACCTGAAGTAACATTCTGCAGCTCCTCTTTCATTAGATCTTAAAACCCATTTATTTTGATAATGGCAAGGCCTTCCCTTCCTCTGGATTGAAATCATCCCCTAAACTATGTGGCCCCGCATTCTGAAACCAATTACTGTTCTTGATATGCTCTTTATTTGAGGTATTTTTTATTCGGTATTTTTCAAAATTTCTCATTTCCCTTGATTTCTGTCAAATTGCTTTTTTTTTTTTTTTTTTTTTTTTTTTTTAAAAAAAAGCTCTTCTTGTGAATTCAGCCATGGAGTGGTTACCTAGTAACAGCAGTTTGGGTCTGAGCTGGTGCTGAATGAGGGGGGGGAGAGAGAGAGAGAGAGACAGAGAGAGACAGAGAGAGACAGAGAGAGACAGAGAGAGACAGAGAGACAGAGAGACAGAGACAGAGAGAGCGAGCCAGAGAGACAGAGACAGAGAGAGAACCAGAGAGACAGAGAGAGAGAAAGAGAAACAGAGAGAGACAGAGAGACAGAGACAGAGAGAGAGAGACAGAGAGACAGAGAGAAAGAGAAACAGAGAGAGACAGAGACAGAGACAGACAGAGGCAGAGAGAAACAGAGACAGAGACAGAGATAGAGACAGAGACAGACAGACAGACAGACAGACAGACAGACAGACAGACAGAGACAGAGAGAAGCAGAGACAGACAGAGATGGACAGAGGCAGAGATAGAGACAGAGACAGACAGAGACAGAAGGAATTAGTCAAAGTCATTTGTATAAAGAAGAGCCTGGGTTCTGCTTTAGGATGCAGGGCGAATGAAGAGTTCATGCTTTTCCTGGGTCTTCTAAATTCTTTCTTCCATACTGAATGCAGAATGGCTTTGCTCTAGTTTTTAGGGATCAAAGAATTTCTTTCTGCTTCTGTTTTGTTTTTTTTTCTTCGATTTTACCTATATCTGATCCATCTATCAAGGGTTTTCTGATTTCTAATGGTTCCTACAAATGCTGTGCACCTGGGCTTCTTGCCCTGCCATCTCAACAACGCTCTTTAACTGCTCGGAATCTGTTTGTCTTCTATGCTGCTCCACCTGGCTCGTTAGGCTTGTTGTTGTCTGTGACTTGGTTTGTTATTTTCTTTGTAGATAAGAACAAAATTTAAATGTGGGAGTTGTATATCTATCAAGGAGCATATATGACGAGCACCAAAACATTTTATTTTATTATTATTTTTTGTTGGCCAGCTTAGCTCACCCTGGGGGCGGGGCTGGTGTGCCATGTGGTACTGGGGATCGAACTATGGTCCTTGCCTGGGCTTGCCTAAGCAGGCGCTTTAGACCACTGAGCTATACTGCTGGCCCCTGTACTTAATTTTACAGATCGCATTTTGAGTCCTATAATGAAACTAAGGAAGTGATATGTATACTATGTAGGCAAGCCAGTGACTGTTTCCAGATAATTAGGCTTACAAAGCTCTGGATTTGTTTTTATGCCATCGCTTGGTAGGTCTGTCATCAAGGAAAAAGGTAACTGTACCTGACCTGAACCCATCAGAGGCTAAATGGGCCTGGATCCTGCTCACAATGCTCAGCACGCTCAGGCCTTCAGCAGTTCTTTCTTCTGAATCATGCGGATGAACTTTCTGCCCTAGATCCTGGAGGGGGACCCTGTATCCTGGAAGTCCCTTCACCATGGTGACATTTACGTGTCTGCTGTTTTTGTGGGGTGGCCCTGTGGTCTTCCTTGTTAATGAGTCCCACAGACACAGGGAACCTAGGGGGGTGACCACCAAACACCCTTCAGTGGATTTGTAACGTTCTGTGGACAAGTACCAGTGTTTTTAGTATCTGTGATCATTAGCAAATGGGTACAGTGTTAATGCAAACTCTTCAGAGAGGTATCAAAGATGGTGCCGAAGTGTCTGATGGGAGTCTGTTCTGACCAATACGGTGCCTGTTACAAACACAAGACCTTTTTGTCAGGCCAGTGCATTTCTTTAAAAATAGAACTGTATCGTTGAACATAAATGACTGATATCAAGTTTCTTTGGCTTTTTTTTTTTTTTCAGGGTGGTCGGGGCTTAGATGGAGAACCAGGACCCCAAGGTCTTCCGGGTGCACCTGTAAGTGTTTTTCCTTTTATAAAACTCAGTGACACATACACACCCACATATATATATATATATTTTAGCAATAATACTTACTTTGGCTACGTATATATCGGTATGTTCAAGTAGCTTATACATATGAATAATAAGCATGGGAAAATGGGCAGGAGTTTTGTGTTTGCTTTAAAAGTTATAAGAAGGCCCATTATCTCTTTCTTGGTCACAGAGAAAAGTTTCTCTGATATGAATGATTTTTAATCAGATAAGCTCATACTATTAAGTTTTTTTGTTTCTTTGTTTCCTTTCACTTTGATTGTCAAGAAGCTTAGAACCACAGTAAGAACCTCATGCTAGTTCCTGGGGAGTTCCAATCCTTTCCTCTCCTATGGATCCAGATCTCATTGTTTGGTGTTTAATTACCTTACGTGTGTGTATCACTGTAGGCCACCTAAGCTTTTTTTTTTGGAGGTAAGGAGAAAAAAAAAAGAATAAGATAGAATTTCTACCTATCAAGGCCCTGTGTTAGAGTGCAAGAGACAGAATGGAACTCAAGCTGAGCTAAAAACAAATCAGCGCCAGAACATGGGGCAGAGGGAACCTGTGCAAGAGAACCTCAGTGGAAGGTTGGTGTAGAAAGCCATCCTGGAAGGAAAGGTGGCCACGTACAGCAGGGCACTGCTGGTGGCCACGGGCTGAGGGAGCCCATGGAGAGGCTGGCATAGTCTGCATGGAAAGCTTGTGTTAAGAAGACGAACTTGACTAGATAAGGTAGAGCCACATTGTGGGCAATGTTTGATGCTGTTCTGAATAACTTCATGTTTTCTAGTAGCGATAGAGAGGCATTCAAGGTTTTGGAAGGACTAAGCTATTTTTCAAAAAAGTTGTATTTCAGGAAGCTACATCCTCTCACCTGTTTCCACTTATACCATATCAATATTAATTGGCTAATTTTGACAGAAATCATTGTTACTAAATGAGGAATTAAATAATATGGGAAAAAGATCTGCAACAAACCAACCCTCAACCCACCATCATGCCAATGAGACTATCTAGTTATCTAGCTAGTCAATTACATCGTCAATGTCAATTGTCTTAATCATTTTCTTTATTCCTTCTTCTAAGACATGGAATCCAACACACACATCTTAAAGGGATTTATTTTGGTTCGCAGTTATAATCCATGGTTGGCTGGTGCCCAGGTGAACAGCCTGGCAGAGGGCATAGTGGAGGGCGAGTTGTTTAGGTCATGGTGCTCTATGAGCAGAGAGTCAAGCCATTAGCTGGCGTGGGGACAGAATCTTGGGGGTCTTGCCACAGTGACCCACCTCTCCCAACCAGGCCCCCCCATCAGCAAGCCAGCCTGTATCTTCCTACGTCCATTCACCTTCCAAAGGATTGGTCTGTGACCCTTGAGCCTTAGGGGCCATCTAGGTATAAACCATAACAGTGGTGAAGCTCCTGACATTGTCACCTGCAGTGTGTGACTGCACTGACTTTAAGCGCAGGTCCACGTAGTACAGTGCATTTAAAATAACAAAGGATATGCGAGTTGCAATTTTTCTCGTATCAAGATCATGTTTTGTCCTTTTTTATTTTAAGGAGACTAAAAAATAATTAAAAACATTAGAAACAATACAAAATTTTAAAAAAACGAGACAAGAGGAATTCATCAAGTGTTGTTATATTGCGTATTGTTGTCTTCAAAGCAGTCGTTTAGATAATCAGGTAAAAGCATATGAAGTTGGTCAAAAGATTAAGAATTAACTGTTCCTTTCAATAAACCAATAGAAATCATTGGTACAACTATCTTAGCTATCTCATGTGTGTATGTATATATTTAAACATACAAATATATATATACACATACATACATACATACATACATATTAAGGACACATAATTTTTATGAAAACTCTTCTTTTTTATTGGTACATTTTAGGTATACATAGTGATCACATTCATCATAGGGAACTGTACCTGTATATGATGGTAACTTTTCTTTTCCCCCCTCATTTTGCTATTCTCTCTTCAACCCCTCATGAAAACATTTCTTTCGTTAATCATCCAAGATAGATTAAAGCCATTGTGATAAAAGAGCAATAGTTTGGCACCACAAGCACTGCTGGCCCCGCCCCTGGGATGTGCTGAGATGGCGGGGCGCGCACCTGTAACCCCAGCGCTTGGGAGGCTGAAAACAGGCGGATCACTATGAGTCTGATCAGTAGTGAGACCCTGGAGACCATGTACTAAATAATAATAATAATAATAATAAAAAATCAGTAGTTAAGTAATGTGGATGATACATTCTAATTTTAAAAAAGTCTACCAATAAGTAGTTTTTGCTCAGATTAACATTTTATGTTCCACAGGGTGATCAAGGACAGCGAGGATCTCCAGGAGAAGCAGGTCCCAAGGGAGACAGGGTGAGTTTGAGGTCCCCTTAATCACACAGAGCTTCCTGCTTCTCACTGATTTTGCTTACTTGTGTGACATATTGCTTTCCTTCTGCACCGTAGGGTCCCCAAGGTTCCAGAGGGATTCCTGGAGTCCCCGGGCCCAAAGGAGACACGGTGGGTGCTGAGCTATTTGTACAAAGCCCAGTTTTCAAAGAATGTGGCTATTTCTAAGAAACAGAGCATTTCTTTGTGTGTGTCTAGGGTTTGCCAGGAGTGGACGGCCGCGACGGGATACCTGGAATGCCGGGAACAAAGGTAGCTGTGTGGCTTAGGCCACGAGTGCGGGGGCTGCCTCTGCCCCAGCCAAATGAGCCCAGCATTTCCATGACAACGTGACCAGCAGAGACTTACTTAGCCGGCTTTGGCTTTCTTTTTCTTTTAAATTTTTAATCAAGTGTCAAATACAAAATTCTTTTTAGAAGAGCAGACTTGTGTGCTCGGATTTAGAAGCTCAAATTGGCCCCTTGACAAAAGTGGGCTGAGGACAGTGTGTGTTTTGATTGAATTCATGTCATCTGTCCCACTGCATCCCTGTTCCACATTCAGTCGCATTTTAAAAGTGCACCTAAGGTCAGCTTTTGGGAAGGATCCTCTCCCACAGAAGGGCTGTGTTTTCCTCCTTATTAAAAGAAATACAGTATTTCATACAGGTTCAAGGACATGCTATTTTTTTTTTTTTATTTTCAGGGTGAGCCAGGGAAACCTGGGCCTCCTGGGGATGCAGGATTACAAGGTTTGCCAGTAAGTATTAGATTCTCTAAACGTTCCTTGGCTTATACACATGACTTAGAGATATGCATTGGAGGGCAGAGACGTGTTACAAAGGTTGATAGGTTCTAGGGGAGCTATGATGTATCACTTTTATGTTTTTACACTTTTACATTTTGGTGCTTTTTCTCTAAGTAACTAGTAATTTCTCATACCTCTGTTTTAGATGAGTCTTTTCTTTTTAGTTTTCTTTCTTCCGTATATTGTTTTACTCACCCTGGTTAGTGGGCTAGTATTATATAGTTGGTCCTCCTTCTAACCAGTCTTGGGGCTTGTGTTAGCAGGGGTGTGCTACAAGGGGGTTGAGAATTATTCTTGCTGAATAATGTACCTACAAGTTTCCATTTTTGAATTATGTGCTGTTTTAAGGCATCCAAAATGGTGTTTTCCTGCTGTGATGTAGCTGAAAATTCATGTGGCTTATAACACATGCATTCTTGACTCTTTGAAGGCAAATATTTCAGGTTAAGAAAGGATTCCATGTGATAGCAAAGACAGGCCCTGGTCTGTTGTGATTTCTCACACTTTTTAAATAATCAGACTCAGGGCAACATCTGAAATCCAGCATCAGCCTGCTACTCTTTTTCTACTGCAAACTCCAGCATTTTCAATGGGCTCTAATTTCATTATTCTGTACAATAAACCTTTTCTTTTCATGTATTTAGTACAGGGTCTACAGGGTCTCACTACACAGATCAGAATCAGACTTTTAGTGACGCTCCTCTTTTCAGCCTCCCAAGTGCTGAGATTATGGGCATACGCCACTATACCCAGTCTCAATCACCACATCTGCACCCCGGGGGCATGACTGGCACCACCTGTGGTGCCTGGGATTGAACCCCAGTCCCTGCATCTGCCTAAGTAGGTGCTTTAATCAGCTGAGCTACCTGGCTGGCCCTGTGCAGGAAACCTTGTTAGGTCCCTGAGGCAACTGTCTTACCTGTAAGATCTCCTATTGACCAGAAAATGGGAATGTGGTCTCTTTGGTAAGTTTGTTCTTCAAAAATAACCTTATTGTATAGGTAGGATTTGCCTACAGTGCGTTCATCTCAACAAGCCAGATACAGTAAAGGAATGGCTGTCCACTCTAGGTAATTCTATAATTGGTGGTGTGGAGTTTGAGAATCAGAAGTACCTCCCTCCCACTAACATTCTACTTGGCTTCTCATGGTCTTCTAGGAGGAGCCACTAAGTCTAGTTCTCCATTCTTTTAGGGTGTGCCTGGAATTCCTGGTGCAAAGGGTGTTTCTGGTGAAAAGGTAAAAGATTAGACTTTTAAATCAATATTTTCCTTTACTCTTTTATTAATATATTTTCTTTATGATTTTTAACATTCCCAGCCTACCCTTTATCTTATATTGAACCCCAGGAGAAATCAAAAGTCAAAGCCTTACAGCTTTGAATGCTAATCTTCTTTCCCAGCTGTAGAAAGTTGCTGATTAGACTTTCTTCATGAAAATGTCATAGAGATAGAGAAAGTTTTATTGTCTTTTACTCCTTAAAGGAGGAAGATATTATTAAGCCATAGAGCTTATGTCAGTGATTATTATTAAGATAATTTAAACTAAAAAGATAGTAAGCATTTTGTTCACATACAAATCAGCGGGTGCTTATCATCTATACAGAATCTAAGTACAAGCAATGAAAACAATAGGCGAAAGACATACGTAAAAGGGGTAAAAGACAGCTTTGCTGTGTGTGTGTGTGTGTGTGTGTGTGTGTGTGTGTGTGTGTGTGTGACAGCTTTGCTTTGGAGTGCAGGAGATGGAAGGTGAGCGGTGTAGCTAGCAGTCACTACTGGAGTGCATGGGTGCAGCCTTCCACATCTTAGTGTCCCCCTCATAAGCAGAGGTGACCCCAGAGGGCTGAAGCTGAGGAACTGGGCATGGAGGTGGCATCGCAGTATGCGCTGGCAGGGCTTCCCAACCGCAGGTCTTTGCATGCCCACCTGATCCTGAAAAATTTAATGGTGCCAGTGTGAGATCTCAGGGCACCATGAGGCAGTGTACAGAAGGTGGTGAAGGAAAGGCATAATTAACATCACAAAGAAAGGGAACCTTTTTAGGTTTAGTTCCGTTATTTAAATATTATAGGTGTGTTAACTCAGCAAAATATTCTAAAAGAGTCCAGTAGTCCATAATAGTACAAAAAAAGGGGATACAGATGAATGTCCATTTTGTATTTGTGTATTCAAAATGGTTAGGATAGATATATAGTTATATTCTCTTAATGAATAGAGGGATTTGTTCTAATGATGTTTGTAAATAGGATATCATGTCCGCATCTTGTACAGCAATTAACCACTAGGAAGAATGTATGCAATGTGTTAATTATTGCAACTGTCCTACCGATTTGGTTTGAAACTGGCTCATTGCTATTTGTTTCTCAATAAAATTATGGAAAAAAAAAAACACAACAAAGAAAGGAAACGGCTCTGGCTGAAGGGGATTCCTTCAAACAAAGCCAAAAACATTCCTTTTTTTGACATCTGACCGTAATATACTTCTGGGACTAAAAGTATTTTGGATCACAAAAACTTTGATGTAGTCATCCTTCCAAGTTCTTAATGCGAAATGAGGAGATTAGGTCTGTTCGGCTATGAGCAGTACCTGGGCTGGGTGAGTCGGCTGAGGATTAAATAAACTCGATTATTCTGAATTACTCTAAAAAGATGTTGCTTGCTTTTAGGGCAACACAGGAGCCCCAGGGAAGCCCGGGCAGCTGGGAAATTCAGGCAAACCGGTAAGATCCCGCTGGACCTTTCATCAGTTATGGCCTGTTGTTATGAGGGGCTGTTAACTTTCTCTCTCTCTTCCTCATAAAAGGGCCAGCAGGGGCCTCCAGGAGAGGTGGGACCACGAGGACCCCGGGGGCTTCCTGTGAGTACTCCTGCTTGCGCTGCCTTCCCGCAGGGACTGTGGGCAGGCCTCGCTTCACAGGGGCATGTGCGCATGCCCTCCCATGTCTGCGCATGCGCAGATTCCCTCCCACGTCCGGGCGTGTGCAGTTGCTTTTCCATATTCGGGCATGTGCAGATTCCCTCCCATGTCTGCACACGCGCAGGTTCCCTCCCACATCTGGGCACGTGCAGATGCCCTTCCACATCTGGACATTTGGTAGCGCCAATAGACAGTGGTATAGGAGTGCTGCCTAAATTCACACCACACCTTCCTTCCAGAAAACAGAAGCAGAGATGAGGTGATTATCATAATAACCTCTTCTCTCAATGCTTTTTGAAGAAAATGTTTTAATGTGATTAAAAACCCCAACTTTATTAAGATGTAACTCACATACTGTGTAATTCTCCTGTTTAATCTGTATGCTGTATTGATGTTACACATAGTCCCAGAACTGTGCAACACTCAGCACAATCAATATTAGAACATTTTAGACAGAATCGCTGTCTCCACATGCAGTCAGACATTCAGTATTTCTTCCCAGACCCTTCCGGTGTACCTAGTAACAAATCCACTTTCTGTTTCTGCAGATTTTTTATTTCCAGAAAGTTGATATAAGTAAAGTAATATACCACACAACATTTATAAAATGATGATCTTCTCTCACTTAACACAGTATGCTAGCATTCATCTGTGCTGTTGCTTATATAAATACTTTATTCCTTTATACTGCTGAATAATATTTAATTGTGTAGAATAATTGTGTGGGCATACCACATTTTATGGGTCCATCTGTCTAGTGAGAGGCATTTGGATTGCTTCCATTTTTTTGGCCTTTAGGAATAATGCTGCTATGAAAATTTGTCAGAAGTTTTGTGTGGATATAGGTTTTAATTTCTCTTGAGTAAATAGGTGTGGAATTGCTTTGCCACACAGTGACTGCATTTAATCTTTTGAAAGGCTGTCAAGCTTCAAAATGTGAGTGTGTAAGCTTGTTATCTTATAGCAGGTAGAGCAGTGTATCTTTACTCACAAGTTGCAATTTAATCCTTAGAAACTGATTAGAAAATTAAACTGTATGCACTTAAATTTGACTTTAAAAATTCTTTCTAGCCTTTGTTTTTAGTCTAGTGGATATTAAGATGACTACAAATGAGATCACAGAAACATTTTCGCATATTACTGCTCCTTTCAAAGCATTTCTTAGGCATAGTGAATAAGGACTTTCATGGTTGAAAAGAGTCAGTGTTTCTAGTTGCCTTGTGGTGTGAGAATGGAGTTTTTTTTTTTTTTAACTGCTTATGGCTATCAACGAATTTCCTGAAATTTCTTTGAAGCTGAAAAAATCAGCTCCTAATCTTAATTGTTCTTGTTCACTTGTTCATGACTTCTACTTTCTGGTCTTTTCCTTGAACTCTATAAACTTCAAGTTAAAATACTTTCCATAAATTAACTGTTGAGGTACTAAGGCCAGATTTCAGACACAGTGAAGATGCTCAATGTCTGGTCCAGGATAATCTAGGGGTGTTAGAACGTGGAGAGCATTTAACGTTATAGCCACTATTCATCTTATTAAGCAGAAAGCTGCATGCAGTTGAAGGAATATTGTCTGAGCACCTGCTGTGCCAGGACTGTGCAGTGTACATGAAAAGTGACACAAACTCGAGAATGCTTGGCCTGTGATAGTTCGGTGACAAGAGGAGTGTCAAGCAGTGAACAAGGCGAGGCAGAACACCAGGGGGGTGAGGAGAGTTGGTTCCTTTTGAGAATCGAAAGGATCAGAGGAATGGCCGACAGGGTTTGGGGCCTAAATTTCAGATTTTGATTTTCAGATTTGTGTAAGACTTCAGATTCTTTCATGGTTATTGTCATCAAAGCTCACAGCCTTGGTGCTCTTTCTTCATTGCATTTCTATCCCTAGCAGGGCTGTCAGCCTGTCTTCTTTTCAAGATCTCTTGTATTTGACTCTGTTCACTTTCTTTTCTACCAACCTGGCTCAGGTCGTTGCTGACTCCTGGGATAACCACAGTTATCTCCTGATTTGTTTTTCCACCCCTAATCTTTCCATCCTCTGGGAACTGTTGGTGTTTAGGCTGAGCTACTTCTTTGCTCCTCAGGATTCTTACATGTGGCAAAGTATCACATCCACAATGTCCATCCTAGAGCCCTAAGAGTGTCTCACAGCCCTTGTGACAAAAAAGTAACACATACAATGCCAAAGTCCCTGAAGTGTGGCAGTGTCCTAGACTGCACACAGCACCATGTTGACTTTTTCAAACCACATATTCCATCATCACTTTTTCACCCCATTTAAAACTCTTTAAGGGCTGGGGAGATAGCTCAGTAGAATAAGTGCTTGGCCGGCAAGCACAAGGTCCTGAGTTCAATCCCCAGTATTGCAAATAAATAACTAAATAAATAAACAAACAATAAAAAATAAAAATCTTTGGTTGGCTTTCAGTGACCATAAGAAAAAGTCTGAAACCTTAGACTCACTATTAACCTCCTAGTTTTATTTCTCTTTCCTTTCTGGCTCAAAGCTTGTCTTCTGGTCACGCTGGGTGCTACATGCATTTCTAAATATTCTCTGTACTTTTTGGCTGCCTGTCTTCCCTTATGTCAGAATCTGTATTTTGATGACTTTTCCTCCATTTCTGTGACTTCTTATTTCCTGTTTCCTAGATAGAATATATATATATATATCTTTTCTTTTTTTTTGGTGGAACTGGGGATTGAACTCAGGCCCTTGCACTTGCCATGGAAGTGCTTATTCTACTGAGCTATCTCCCCAGCCCCATAGAATATAAATGTTAATTCCATCTTAGAAATATCTTCAAATTATACACTATACCTCAGATAGAAGTAATCACTGCTTATTCAGAACCCTGTAACATTTGACCCCTTTGTGCCCCTTGCTGTGATGACTGCAGGAAGACAAGAACATATCTGATTAACTGCTGGGTACACTACATCTTCTTACTTGGGGCTTGGCATAGGGTAATGATCAATAAATCTTTCTTTAAATTATTATTATTATTAATTATTATTATTATTTTTGCGGTACTGGTGATTGAACTCAGGGCCCTGAGCTTGCCAGGCAAACACTTATTCTACTGAGCCATCTCCCCAGCCCTTGAATGGAGTTGGAGGCATAATAAGCCCTGCTGTGCTGCTTTCATTGGTAATAACTGGCTTTTCACCTGCTATAAACTTTTTAGAAGAATGTCATGATTTTAAAAATATTATAGTCCTGTAGCAATGTTTTAACACTAGATCTACTTATTGAAAGCAACGTTCGCTCTTTATTTTACATCATAAAATTTAGCTTTCTAGAGAAGTTCACACACTTCCAGGTGGGCTTCAGAAGTCTGATCAGTTTTTCCTGAAAATCTCAAGTCATACTGAGTAGAAGAAATGAGAAGGTATTTCCCAGAAGTATGTCTTTGTAGTACTGCTATAATGCCTATCAGTTTTCTATTTTGGTCCCTCTAATGATTTCCATCATGTGTAGCTGTTTCTACTGTGTCTTTCTCTGAGATACTTCTCTTGATTTGTTCTTGGTTTTGGTGGCTTTCAGCGGACATCAGGAAAATGCCCGGGCCTCTGATTCAGTCCTACCTTCTAGAAGCTGCTGGAATTTCCATCTTCCAGGCTTCTCACAACTTGCCTAAGCTTTCACCTTGCTCCTGTGGTTTGATTGGGGCAAGATGTATGTTGGCCTGCCTGCAGTTCACTGAAGGTTGCACGCTTCTGGAGCACAGGAGCTTGTTGCAGTTCTCTCAGAGTCTCTCATCCTCTCATCCAGCATTGAGGCAGAGGTGCCCGTGAAGTGTGCTGCTGTCCCCCATCTACCCAGGCCCTTGTGATGCTAATGGTTCCAGTTTAGAGGAATTGTTTTCTGCAGCTGTGTGCAGGAACACTTAAGCCTATACTAGAGAGAAATATAAATTGTACAATAAAATTGAATTATCAAAAAGTTTTTGTACCAAATCTAAAAGTTATCATAGTAGTAAAACTAAGATGATGGTCCCATGTTAATATGACAACTGTTTATAGAACTGGTAATTGATCTTCTGGGTTAATCAACACTTTTTTTTTCCAGAGAGAGACAGTATATACACTATGCCAAATATAGTGATTTATAATTCTGATTTCTAAAACTGCCAAAGTACTAAAAATAGTGTTCACTCTTCAACTAGTTAAAATTTTGAGTAAATGTAGCCAAAATAACAGTCATAGAAGTGAGAAGGTGATGAAATTAAAAAAAAATCACTTATTTTGTCCAATAGTTCTAGCAACATAAATCTACTAAAGCTTTCTGTGATCTCTCAAAGTTTTCATAGTTCTTTTCTAAAAGGGGTGCCTTCCATTGGAATTATTTGTCTTTGTTTATGGAAATAATTTTGACAAAGTAGCACCCAATACTTGCACGTTAAGAAAGTGCCTGGTGTTGGTGGTGCTGGCAAAAACTGGAGATGTGCAGGTTACCCAGACTTAGTTTTTCCATCTGTCTTGGGTGTCTAAGGAGTCTTGAGTTTGAAAGACAAGGAACATTTAATTAAACATGCAGTTGAAAAACATAATTTTGGTTGATTTCTTTAGTAATGACAGATGACACTAACACTAACCTCTCTAGAGTGTTTACTATTACTCAGGCTCTCTCTTTTTAATTTTTTTTTTTTTTTTTTTTTGCTTTTTATATATTTGGTACAGGGTCTCACTATGCAGCTCAGACTCATAGTGATCCTCCTGTTGTCAGCCCCCCCAGCTGGGATTATAGGTGTAGGCCACCATGCCTGGTCTTGGTGGATGGCTCAGCACACCAAGGGGTGGGGCAGGTATGGCATGTGGTGCAGAGGGGATCAAACCCTGGTCCTTGCCCTTGTCTAAGCAGGTGCTCAGTCTGCTGAGCTATCTTGTTGGGCAGGCTCTCTTCTGAGCGATTTATGTATTTTATTTAATCCTTATAAAAGTCCTCTGATGTAGGCACTGTTTTGTTTCCCAGTTTATTTATGAGGAAATAGAAACAGAGAGGTAAGGCTTCTTAGTGAGGGACCAGATGATGCATGGCAAAGCCAGCTTTAAACCTCACACCTGAGCTTTGCATCTCTGTGTTCATCTTCACATTCTCCTGCCTCAGCTGTTGTAGACAGGGCTCTGCAGTGCGGTTTTCAGTTGAAGTTTGCTCGCCAAATTCTGAGTGCACATTTAGCAGTTTTTAAATTTAGTATTTACGGAAGTTCAGTGTTAAATATTCTCTTTTCCTCAAAAAGTCTAAATAAAGCTGGTAAAGATAAACACAGCATATGCCAAACACATTTCTGGGTCTTTCTCCAGACCTACAGAATTAGAATCAGGAAGAGATGAATAAAAATGGAGAATGGGCAGATAGCATAGTGGAAGACGCCAGTGGAATATGTGTCTAACGAGATCAGAGCTGGTGCCTTGCCATGTGCTTGTGATTTCAGATACTCAGGGCTGAAGCAGGTGGCTTGTAGGTTCAAGGCCACCCTGTGAAATTTAGTGAGACCTTATTTCAAAACCTAATGAGGGGCCAGAGGTACAGGTACTACACTTGCCTAGTATGCTTGAGGCTGTGGGTTCAGTCCACAGTCCTGTACAACACCAACAACAGAACTCAGAAGTTGGGACACAACCTCAGTTGGGAGAGAGGGTCTGGCTTCTTATATAGGAATAAATTTGTGGAGAAGTCTGAGCTTGTCAGTGATGTACAGTAGAAATGACTTCCAAGAGAAACATGAACTTTTTGTTATGGTCTCCCATTTTTAATGGTAGAACTTTTGCCCTTGTTCTGGTTCCTTTTGATTTCCTTATTACAAATCAGAACTCGTATGACCATGAGGCTGATAAACACCAGTGGGAAGGGAAGCATCCCTTGTCATTCAGGGCACAGACATCACAGCTGTTGGAGCATAAGAGGGTTATCATTTATGCTGCACATCGGTGTTTGCCTGGGCCATGGTTAATGACTTTCCATGGTTAGTTAAATCAGTGTTTTTAGAGATTTTTAGGTGTTTCTTGACTACTTTTATCATCTTCATCTTAGCTTCTTATGTAAAATTCTAGTACTAAGAGAAGCATAGTCAATTTTGAAATACACAGATATTGATAGAATGGTTATCAGAATATTTTGTCTTCATGGTTTCTTTACAGCTGTTGGGTCCCTGTTGCAAAAGTAACATCATTTTCACAATGAGGTGACTTCTGTAGAAATGTCTGCATTAAGAATGGCTGAGGATTGATAAGACGGAAGCAAAATAAGAATGAGAGGGGCTGGGGAGATAGCTCAATGGCATAAGCACCTGCCTGGAAAGCAAAAGGTCCTAAGTTTGATCCCCAATACTGCATACCATGCCAACCCTAGACCTGGGCATGATGGCACACACCTGTAATCCTAGCACTAGGAAGACTGAGACAAGAGGATACTAGAGTCTGAGCTTCATAGAGAGAGGATACACCCACAGTCTTTGATTCTTCCTCTTGTCCTCCAGTGTCAGCCCTCAGGAGTACACAACCGAGCCACTCACTTGTATCACAGAAGCTGCCAGGGTTTGGGAAGTATTTAAGTGAATAAGTCTTATGAAAAACAGAGAGGATAAGCATCCATTAGAGAAAGATCTTTGACTTGGGGAAGCTAATTAATCCTTCCAAAAATAAGTCATAGGTTATAAATCCTATATTTTAGTTTAGCCCTTGATATTTATGCTTAGTGCTGGGATTATAGGTGCATGCTACCGGCGTGACACAGGGATCAAACCCCCAGCCCCTGCATCTGCCTAAGCAGGCGATTTAGTTCATTGAACTATCTGGCTGGCCCAGCCCTTGATCTTTATGGAACAGAAGTATGCTAATCATCTTCATTTTGGATAAGATATCAGAAGAGTCATTTATTTAGAAGAGATACTTAAGATTCTGTCAAGAGTTAAGATTCTTTCCTCTTCTGATGTTATTAATTTTTTCCTCTTAATGACTGTTGGAAAAGTAAATTCATGTGAACTCCATGATGTCTAAATCCCTTCATAAAACAGTTGAGAAATTATTTGTGAATGCCAAGAAAGCAGTTGTACGAAAGAAAATCTGACTTGAGCTTTGAAGTTCTGGGCCCAATCAGGAGTAGAATCCAGCCTCTCTAGAGGGATGGAAGAATTAATCTCAGTGGCTAGTTTTCACCCACAGATGCCCTTGGGCACCTGTCCTTATAGGGCACCGCTTCTGGCTTCCATGTACTTCATAAAGTAGAAGGACTGGGGTATCATCCCAAACTCCTGTACCAAGGAGGTTGTTCACATGAAGGTTGCTTGATAGTTATTTAAAAGCATTTAGTTTATGTCACAAGTCACAGGAACTGATTATCATGAAATTATAGCTCGGGGCCAGAGACTGTTGTAATTTGGGCCATATTTCTTAGTCCTTCAGGGAAACTGAAAATCTAGAAAGTTTATATGAATAACACACAGGTCAGAAAAGAATAATCCTACCAGAAGCACTTATAAACAATAAGCATTAATATGGAGCTGCTGTTATTTCTTTTTTTTCGGTTCCAGAGATTGAAATTGGGATGTGCACTTGCCAGGCAGGCACTTACGGCACTGAGCTATCTCCCCTGGTGCCATATTATTTTAAAGAAAAAGCAACTCAAATGACCTCTTTCATTTTTCTGTATATCTTTCAGAAAATGTGACTATTTATGTAATATTTTTGTGTTCAACTTAGTTGAGCTTGTGTTGGAAATAAAACAAGCTTATAGTAGACTGCATAAAACATATGACATTCTCAGGAAAAGAAATTGAAGAGTCCTTGGGTGTCCTTTGCTCAAAAGTTCTGAAAAGTTATAATTTCAAATAAAAATTTGAAAACTTAGATTTCAAATAAACATTCAAAATTGGCCTGCAGAATAAATTAGTGTTGCATTTAGTGTCACTTCATTATGAATTGTACTTTTCAAAGTCTGTTTAATCTTTTAAGACATATTTAGAACAAGAATGGGCAAAACAAAGACATTTTTATCTCAGAAACTTTATACATTTCTGCCATCTGTGTCTTTTGAATTCAAAGTAGTAATTTAAAGACAAACATCTCTGTCTTGTTTTTCTTTTTAGCCTTTTGAGGTAGAAGATAATTTGCCAGATGTTCCTTTACAATGTTCTATAGACTTGAAAATTTACTCTGTGTTTCAGACACTGTGCAGAATTTTAAATTAATATGTACTTGATGATTTTTTTCTTTTGGTGGAGCTGGGGCTTGAACTCAGGTCCTTGAACTTGCCAGGCAAGCACTTATTCAACTGAGCTATCTCCCCGGCCCTTAAATCAGTATGTACTTAATGACCTCAAGAACATGTCATCTAAAAACATGTTTGCAATGGTCTGTAATACAAAGTATGGGTAAGATATTGAGAGTTGCTAACTACCCTTTTAGGGATGTATGAGATGTGACCAATGGGTTATAATCATAACGAACATCATCAGAATATTCATTATGTGTTAAATATAGCATGCATGTGGCGTAAATGGTGACGCTGGCAAGCCTACGGCTTATGTGTTACTCTGTTTTCCTTTTAAGAGGAAAGATGTTCATGTAGAGTTGTTTTTCTAAACGAAAACCATTGTGTTCAGGTTTAATTGCAGCATTGGTGCTCTGTGATAAGTAAGTGGGTTTTGGGTTGTAGTTTGGCATTTAATCTCTCAAAGGCACTGGATCACTGTGTCCTACACTTTTAGTTGAAGCAAGGGGAAAGTGCCCTCTGATGACATTTATATTTAAACAAAAGCTTACTTGGGTTATTTTATTTACATAGTAATTGATCCTTTGATTTTGGCCAATTATCTCATTGACAATGATGTTTCTGGTTTTACAGGGCAGTAGAGGAGAAACAGGACCAGCAGGCTCCCCAGGTGGACCAGGGAAACTGGTAAGTGATACTTTTAATCTCCAGATGTTTGTTCGCTTTCTACCAAACAGAATATATTTTCTACACTAAGCAAGAAGAGAGAAGCAATTTGCAAAAGTTCATTAAGTCAGTTGTATTTGATTTGTGTTGTTATATGAAAGTGTGAAAGTATAACTGTGGAGCTAGGATACCCTCAGAGGGTGTTTTAGTCAGTGTGGCTTGAGGTTACATTTTTAAACTGTGCGATGGGAAATTCTACTCTTGGCCTCTGGTCGCTCTCAGTGTTGAAAAGAGCTGTGGAGCTGGGTGTGGTGGCACACACCTATAATCTCAACGCTTGGGAGGCTGAGGCAGGAGCATCACAGTGAGTTCAAGGCCAGCCTGGGCTACAAAGTGAGTTCAGGGCCAGCCTGACCTGCATAGTGAGGGCCTGCCTCAGAAAGAAAAAGAGGGAGATGGCATGAAAGCTGCCTTGTGCTGCTGACTCAGCAGTTATTCACACAGCAGGGAAGCTGTGGTGCCCTGGGGGAGCCGGACTGAGGGAGCCTGATGTCAGGGAAGATTGCCAAGGGAAGCTAAGCCTTGGGGACTGGGCGGACTTCCAGAGGGGCTCTGGAGAGAGGCCCGCTGGAGGAGCTGAGCTATGCCAAGCACAGCATGAGTGAATACACAGCTGCCTAGGCCTAGTCTGCGTCTGAGCTTTCTGTTCTGTAGAGTGACTTGGCGGCTGTGTCTGTTCTCTAGGGACCTCATGGTAGCCCCGGCCTCCCTGGCTTGCCTGGACCCCCTGGACTTCCTGGAATGAAAGGTGACAGGGTAAGAGATCCAACACCCCGGAAAATGTCTTACCTAGAAGAGAGATTTTGGTTATGTTGAGAAATCGAGCTCACTTTTGGCCCAATGAGCAATTTTTCTAGATTATCATGTGAGCTTTTGGGAAAGGTTGAACTACTGAGAAGTGAAATGAAGAAGCAAAAGATATAAATGTCAACCAGAAGGGAAGAAAATGTGAAGGATGGGAAAAGTAAAAACTTCACATGGAATCATGCCATTTGGCTTTGAATTTTCATTCTTCTCAGTGAAATTTGACATGGTTGCTACCAGGGACTGCCCTGGTTACAAGAGATTATTGGGTCACTTCTCATTTTTTTCAGATCTCCCTCATTCCTTTTTAAATTTTATTTTTAAAAAGAATAAAAATACGATAAAAATAATAGAAACACTACTGAATTTCAGTAAACAAAATGATAGGAGTGCTTATGGATTTTTTTTTTTTTTTTTTTTTTTTTTTTTTTTTTTGGCAGAACCAGGGATTGAACTCAGGCCCTCAAGGTTGCCACGGAAGTGCTTATTCCACTGAGCCATCTCCCTGGCTCCTTTTTTTTTTGATTTTTTTTTCTTAAGGAATGGTTATTATATTGCATATTGTTGTCTTTAAATTGGTTGTTCAGATTGTCAGATATAGGCCTGCAAAATTAGTCAAAAAAATTAAAAAGAAGGAAAAGAATTAAGCATTAACTGTTTTTTTCTAGAAATCAGCAGCACAATTACCCAAGCTATCTTGTGTATATACATATATATATTTTTCCCCTTCCTTATTTCTTTCTTTTCTGCTTTCCCTCATCCAAGATATTATTTCCCTTTGAACGTTTCCTTCCCCTCTCACAACATCTATTTTACCTTTCAGACTTTATTTTCTCTTTCAGGTTCTTACACTATGGAGACAATATAATGTTCAAACATGCGGGTCTGATTTATTTCACTTACATGAGTATGGTCTCTAGTTGCATCCATTTACCTAGAAAAGCCTTGAGTTTGTCTCCCTTATAGCTGAATAATACTCCATTGTATAAAAATATCGCATCTTTTTTCATCCATCCCTCAGTTGATGGGCACGTGGGTTGTTTCCAAGATATAGCTATAGACAAATTGCACTGCTATAAACATGGGTGCACATATATCACTGTGGTATGATGTTTTTAGTTCTTCTGGAAAAATACCCAGGAGGGGAATAGCTGGCTTGAATGGGATCTCCAATCCTAGTCTCTTGAGGAATCTCCACACTGATTTCTATGGCATTTGTACCAGACTATACTCCCCGGAACAGTGAAGAAGGGTTTCTTTTTTCCCATAGCCCCTCCAGCATTTGTTATTCATTGATTTCTTGATGGTAGCCATTCTTTCTGGGAGGAGAAGGAATCTCAGTGTCTTAATTTGCTTCTCTCAAATGAGCAATGATGTTGAACATTTTTTTCATACATTTATTTGCCATTTCTATTTTTTCACCTGAGAAGTGTGTACACATCTCAGATGCCCAGATTTTGATTGGGTCTTTGTTGATTCTTGTTAAGCAATGAGAAGTGGGGACATTATCCCCCAATCCATTATCCGTACTTGTGCTGATCTATCAGGGCAATAGTGGGAACTGGTTCATTTGAAATTTTAAAAACAGCTTAAAATACTGAAAAAATGTCATACTGTCTTTATTGCAGGGTGTATTTGGTGAACCAGGCCCGAAGGGTGAACAGGTAAGTTATATTAGTGGGTTAGTGTGAAGTGAGGTGTGTATTATGCATCACTTCATGCCTGAGGGACCTTGGCTGGCTTATGGGTGCCTTAAATCACAGTGCTACTCATTGTTTTTTGTAGTGAGTGAAACCTTGACTTCAGTTTGGTTTCTGTCCTTATCTCCATGTAAATAACCTGGAGATAGTGATAGTTGTGCCTCCTGGCCTAAACAGCCTTTCCTTTGAAGAGGGTGGCCCTGTCTCTCAGAGAGACATTGGTTTTCTAATGTCTGATGGAGTCTTCCTTAACCATATCACAGTGTTTTAACTTTTTGTCAAAAAACAGCAGACCACCTGTGTAGATGAATTAAATTCAGCCATTTCCCTGGAATAGGATGGAAAGCCTTCCTTTTTTTCTACAGTAGGACCCCCTTTTTCAATGGTTATCAAATTACAGAACTGGTGGATGAGGTTATTAGTTTTGCTGAGTTAAACTCAGTTAATTGCTAAAACCTAGTCTCACCCTCTGGTCTCGGTTCAGGCTGTGTTTCTGGCTGGGCTAGCCAGCCCGATTAGAGAGTCATTGAGAACGTTCTATACTGCAGCACCATGGACAGTCTTGCATGCTTATCAATGTTGCCTGGTTCAGCTTGACTCATGGACTAAGAAATTAAAAATGTGGTCTTTTATCCTATTTTTTAGGGTGCCTCTGGTGAAGAAGGTGAAGCAGGAAGAAGGGGTGATCTTGTAAGACTTTTTTCTGGTTAATGATGGAGCTTCATCAATTTAAAACTGTATTAGAAGTGCAGCTATATCTATATCTGTGTGTGGGGAGGAGGGCACTGTTATCCTCACTACCTTTTTAAAGGCTAATACATTTCTTCTCTAAGATAACAAAGGGGCTTCTAAGATTATAGCCAAGGTCAAGTAAACAGAGAGGAAGTGCCCCACAGTGGCTGGACCAAACTTTAAAGTTGAGAGAATTCATTTATGGATGGTGAGTCTTCTTGTAGCCGTGCACCTAGATACTGCAGGTGATTCTTATAGGAGGGTAGAAGTCTGTGAGTATTGAATATCATGGAAGCAAAACTGAAACTGAATTGGAATTAGGGATTTGGGATTCACAAACCTGACCAGATGATTTCTCTCTACTCTGACCACCCCTGCAACACACATACACACCAAGAAGTGACTTCTGTCTCTTCAGAGCCATTACTGCTAAATCTTCTGGACAGCAGTGCAAATAAAAACAGGCCATCTTTACTGCTAACTCTTTTGGTGCACTGGCTTATCACTTTGGTTTTGACAAAGACTAATGTGACCTAACATGGAAATTTATATTTAAGGTCTTATAGTCTGTGGTATTAGATTTCCCATGAAATTGTTTTGGAGGGCTTTGGGCAGGAAAATATTCTGATAAGTTCTTTTCAGGATTTAAAGTAAATCTAAAGATAATGTCTGAATTGGACAAAACTTCCCAGACTTTCTATTGAAGTTGTTCATTTTATGGACTAAGAGAATGTTTTAATCATTCTGTTTTGTTGTTAAGATTAACTGAGCTGAATTCAACCAATCACTAATGGTGGGAGATTTTAAGTCATTTTTTTTTAAAGCCTTGTCTTAGTTATTTTTCTCTTTGCTGAGATGAAATACCAGATGCCCAAAGTTAAAGGTTGACTTAGCTCAGTGTGTCGAGGTTTCAGTCCGTATCCAGCTGGCTCTAAGCAGGGTGGTTCATGGCAGAGTGCAGCAGTTCATGGTGATGGAAAACAGCAAAAGAAACAAAAGTAGCAAGGGAAGAGCAGAGCGCAAGTTTCTTTTCCTCCCTTATGTTGTATGCAGGTTACCTGCCCTCAGGTGGGTATACCACTCATGCCCATAATCCCAGCATCGGACTATGAGTCAGTCCCCTCTCACAGGCCTGGCCCCCATGACTGCATGAGGCTTCAGGTGGACATCTGGACACAAACCATAGCAAGCCTAAAAGCATGCATATTGTGTTGAATAGACTTTTGGGATAAAATTTAAAATATAGTATGAATTACAAAGTGAAGTTAAGGGCCAGCCCAAATAGCTCAGCGGATTAAAGCACCTGCAAGCAAGCTCAAGGGCTGGGGGTTTGATCCTGGAGTCTGCTGTGCTAGCCCCACCCTCAGGGGTGCACTGAGACAGCAGTTTAGACTGGGTGTGGTGGTGTGCACCTGTAATCCCAGCTTTTGAGAGGCTGTAAGCAGGCAGATCACTATGAATCCAATCCAGTAGTGAGACCATGAACACCCTGTAGACCCTTCCCGAAAAAAAAAAAAAAAAAAAAAAAAAACAAAACAAACAAACAAAAACAAAACCCAGAAGCCAAACAAAAACAAAGTGAATTTAAAAGAGTTAAGAGAGTATCTGTGTTTCAAAACAGAATGCTATTTTATTATCTTTTGATGTGTATATCTTAATTCTGCATAGCATTTTAGATCTGGATAGAAATTTGGAGAACTCTGGTTCAGTGCTACTATTTAACAGATCATTTAGCCAGAGCAGGGCATTCCCCTCACTCACCCATGATCACAGCATGTGGTAACAGAATGGGGACTAAAAGCCAACTTGGAGTCTAATGTTTTTCTCTAGTGTCAAGGTTAATCTGTTCATGGTATTTTATCTTTCAACAACATGGTAGTTTTTAACTGTTTTCAGGAAACTATTAAGTATGAATATATTATTCTAAAATAATTTTTGTTTTATTGATTTAGGGAGATACAGGATTACCTGGCCCAAAGGGATCTGTAAGTATAATGGATAGTACTGGTTCTGAAAAGAAAAAATCAATAAAGCTCTAGAAAATGTAATGCATTATTTTAGGAAATAATTCTATAAAATTCAAATCTTAAAGAACTTACTTTAGGGAAATAAATGTGTAAATTTATTCTTTAGGTAATGGGTTAATCTAATATAAAAATTTCACAATTGAATAAATGGGTCTACTTTAAATGGTTCAATGAATACTGTGTGATGATAGTCTAATTTCCTTCCCAAATGACTCATTTTTAAAGGGCCGCCTTGTGCTTTATGGTGGTGATGTAATTGAATTCCATTGGCAGTTATAGTATTGCAAAGTATTTCAGTAGTTTTCTTAATATCCTGCGTGTTGCACAATGTTAAGAAAATCGGGGCAGGGGAGATGGCTCAGTAGAATAAGCACTTCCCTGGCAAGTGCAAGGGCCTGAGTTCAATCCCCGGTTCTGAAAAGAAAGAAGAAAAAAAGAAAGAAAGAAAGAAAGAAAGAAAGAAAGAAAGAAAGAAAGAAAGAAAGAAAGAGAAAGAGAGAAAGAAAGAAGAAAATAGAATAGGGCCGGCCAGATAGCTCAGTGGACTAAAGTGCCTGCTTAGGCAGACTGCAGCAGCTGCGTTCAATCCCTGGTGTGCTGTACCGTCCCCACCCGCAGGGCATGCTGAGCAGTGATTGAGACTGGGCGTGGTGGTGCATGGGCATGTAATCCCAGTGCTCGAGAGGCTGGAAACAGGAGGATTCTGTGTAGTGAGACCCTGTAGACCACGAACTACATACAGAAAAAGGAAAGAAATTAGAAGAGAAAATATAATTTTGCTCAATTTCATCATTCTATAGAAACATAACTGATGTTTTTAGAGATCAGATGTATTCAGAAATATCCAATTAATTGGAAACCTGAAGTGATTTGTCGATTTGAAAGGAGTCCTCATCTGATATAATTAGAAATTTCAAGAAAATAGGAGAAAGATGAAGCTCACATCTCAATCTCAATGCCACTGTGTTACTTCCAAGTCTTTCCCGTTTCGAGAATATTCCCCACATCTTTGTCTGTATTCAGCAAATTAGCTTCATAGCAGCCAGTGTAATCAAAACAAAAAGACAAACCCAGTATGTAACCTTCCTTCACTCCAAACCCTTCAGGAATAGCGTTTTCCAGAATGAGGTTGGATTCCTAGCAAGGTGCACAGAGCTGCGGGTGACATGCTCTTTGCTTCGCCCATCTCCTCTCCTGTGCATCTGGAACTTTTGTTGTTTGCATTTCTTTTAAATGCTCTGTTGCTTCATGCTTCTTTCTGTTCTCTAAATCTGGAACATACCACCTGTCCCCTTAGCATAGCTGCCTCCTAAACAAGCACTTGGCTGCAGCCTTCCTTTCTCTCCCAAGACCCATCCGGCCTTCGGTACAGTGCCCAGCTTGGACTCCAGGCGTTCTGCTGAAACAGATATCGCACTGTATCCATTCACCTGACTCCCAACAGTGTTTCAAAGGGCATTTTATGCCTTAGCATCTGCCGGAAATGGTCTTGGACTGAATAAAAGAGTAAAGCTACAGTAATAGAAACCCTACTTTGCTATTTAGAAATATGCTACACTATTTGTTATCAAAGAAAACAGTGGTCACAATGCAGTGGTTGACGTAAGTGAATTGCATTCTAATTCAGATAGAATATTGGGAAGTCACCCTTAATCATCACTTCTCCCATGCTCTGCCTTATGTGCACTGCACAGGTAATGGTGATGCGATTGAACTGCACTGCATGGAGGACGTTGTTACATCCACAAGGACTGTCTCCTCAGCAGTTTCAGCACAGATTTGTGTATAGCTTGACACCCACTTCAGTGTGCTGCTCCTCTATTGAGGAATTTTTTCCCAAAGACCCAAAGACCTTTATGATGTCCCGGCAGATCAATCCTCGTATCCATTAAAAAATTCCTGTCCCTTTTTCTGGCAAAATTTCAGTCATTGCCAGAAAGATAGTACACTCTGAGTTGCTCTCCTTTGTTTTCCGGTACCTCTTTGGCTCATTTCTGAGTTCACTTTGGCTTCTCTTTGTGTTGTTTTAGAAGCTGTTACTGGTTTGTGCTCTGGGCATCTGGTGGTTGTGCATTCTTGCGAGGTATTTTCTTTGCTTTTCCTGTTGACATTATCTTTCTTCTGGAAGTCTTTTAGGCCATAATTTCCTTACAGAAGCAATTTTGGCAAGTTGACTATGATGAATATCGACGCTCGTACAAAGAGAGCTAGAGAAAAGCTCACTCGCTGAGCTTCACTTGGCTGGGCACGGTGAAAGCACGGCCTCATCGCTTTCTTCTTTGGATTTGAACCATTTGATTGAAGCACAGCCCTTCCTGGACAAAGCTGCAGATGAAAACCAGGCAGGATTGAGTACCTGCCTGAACATGCATATCTTGAACTCTAACATTCGCTTGCCGGCTATTGCCTTACCTTCTCACACTTATTCTGAACAGCAGTGTACTGTGGCTGCTCTACCATGATTCTACCAGAGAAATTTAAAAAAATGTGTTTATACAAAATGGAATAAATTTAGTCACTTTTAAAAACATTATACAGATGAGGATCCTTTTAAACACTTTTAATCATCTACTGTCAGAAAAAAAATCCAGCTTGTATATACTTTTGGACTGAGGAAAATTTTATTTTTAACTTATTTTTAGTGCTCAGAATTTAACTTCCTTAATACTTCATTTTATGAAAAAAAATATATATATATTTTGCTGTACTGGGGATTGAACTCAGGACCTTGTGCTTGCCAGGCAAGCACTTATTCTACTGAGCCATTTACCTAGCTCCTTTATGAAAATATAGAATAAAATTTCGTAAAGGAATAAGAGATTTACAGTAGTTAACACTTTGTATTATCATCAAAGTCATTACTCTGAGTACAAGACACAAACTGGAAAGATTCTCTTACAAAGAGGAAACAGATGGATCATAGCACAAATCTTTCTTTTTGATGGATTAAGAAAAACTAGGCTTATTACTTTGGTAAACTGTGAACTTGTCTTTTTGTCCCAGCATTTTATTTTTTTTAATTTAATTTTTAAATTTTAAATTTTTTTCTTTAATTTTATTGACAGACTAATAGCAATGAGACAGTTTTAAATCAAATTGGTGGGACAGTTTCAATAATTAACACATTGCGTACTCTCTTCCTAGTGGTTATTTGCTGTACAAGATGCGGATATGATATCCTATTTACAAACACCATTACAACAAATCCCTCTATTCATTGAGAATGTAACTATATATCTATCCTAACCATTTTGAATACACAGATGCAAAATGGACATTCACTTATATATCCCCTTTTTTTGTTTAGTTTCGTCATTTGAATATTATAGGTGTGTTAACTCAGCAAAATATTCTAAAAGAGTCCAGTAATCCATAATAGTATTGGGTCTTCCACTTGACTGGAAACTTGGAGACAACCAAGATGCCCATCACCTTTGGAATGGATGAAAAAGATGTGGTATTTTTATACAATGGAGTATTACTCAGCTATAAAGAATGATAAACTCAAAGCCTTTATATTGAAGTGGATGCAGCATTTTAAATGAGTCATTTTATGTGCATTCATTTATCATGTCAGTATTTATAATTCTTGGATACACCTACTGTCTTCACACTCACCATTCAAATGTTTAAAGGCTTAATGGCTCGTTTTCTTAGAAATCTATTTTATGCTCAATGTCTTATTGGTATCCAAATAACATCTTATAAGAACTCAGTGGTCTTTTTGCGGCCAGAAAATGGTAGCAACACTTATTACAAACTGACTACAGGGGCTGAGGGGTACCTCAGTGGTAGTGTACATACTTAGCTTGCATGAGGCCCCTAGTTTCATTTCCAGCAGTAAAACCCAAACAAAAATACTTCCTCCCCAAGCCCACAAACTTTCCTTTAAACTGTGGCTTAATGTATTGATACATTGTTCCAATGACAATTCTAAAGTATTAATAAATAATGAAGATTTGAAGAAGTTTACTTATGGGGTGGCAGATTGTATCTTCACCTTGTAGAAGCCGACTAACAGATGCCTGTCAGAGGGTAGAATGTGGGAAACACTTCCTGCAAGTGCATCTCTTAAAGGTAAGCAGCGTACTGCTTGTGCCTAGCCCTGGCTTGACAGTGCCCAATTCGTTCCAGGTGGGCAACCCTGGGGAGCCTGGCTTGAGAGGACCTGAAGGAATTCGGGGGCTTCCTGGAGTGGAAGGACCAAAAGGACCGCCAGGGCCCCGGGGTGTGCAGGGCGAGCAGGGTGCCACGGGGCTGCCTGGTGCCCAGGGCCCTCCGGTGAGTGGGTTCCCCTCCATTGGGGCTCTCTGGCCACAGCTTCTCAGCCATGAGCTCCCAATCAATCCAGCCTCTTGTCAGCTTACAGTTTAACAATGTTCTCTTTATGGCTCCCCCAATAAACTGCCTGTTTCTTTCCTGTTCCAGGGCAGAGCCCCAACAGATCAGCACATTAAGCAGGTCTGCATGAGGGTCATGCAAGGTAAATAAATCACTATGGTTTAACTTTTTCACCATCAACCCTGAGTTCTTAAGATTTTATTCTTGTAGCTATGCAAGGATAAATAACAGTGGCTTTCTTTATGCTTTAAAATAATGTTAGTGGCAATTCTGTTTTACCCAACTATTGCCATCTACAATGACTTATAGCCTCAAAGCAAAATATTACCTTGTTATGTTGGCCTTTTTTCCTTTTTTCTTCTCTCAGTCTTCTCTTTCTCCCTTCCTATTTTTTTTTTCTCTTCCAAGGTAGGGGATAATGTACAAGAAAGCGTGCATGCGCGCGCACACACACACATACACACACACTCCACACTCTTCCTTTAGAACACAAAATCCTCAGGTATTTCTCTTCCTCTTGAAGTTCTTTACCTGTTAGTGCATATCTACATTGTCCTACAGTTTTTCTCTGTGAAAACTGACAGATTCCCTGCACATCGAAACATAAGGACATTATTTCTACTCATGAACTATATGTTGAGATAGCGATGACTAATATTTTCCAAAGTGGGAATACGTTCTCACACACATCAAGTCTTATCTAAATTCTGATATAGTGATAAAATTATTTGTTTCAGACAGTCTAGTTATGGAACCACACAAAAAACGAGGAAGCACAAAGTTGTCCTAAAACTAAGGAGATCCTGGAACATTTGGAGCCTTGTGACAGAAAATTATCTTATTCTGGTGGAATTGACTTTGTCCTGAAGAAATAATCTTCATTATCATGTTCTTCAGCGAGTCTAGCTTGTCTAGACCATGTGCAGAATTTTCTAGTCTCAAGCTCCAAATGTTGGAGGACTTCTATCTTTGAAAAATCAATACTGATCTCTTCGTTATAGACATTTTATCTTGAAAATCTGTTTTAGTTTTAAGTGTTATATGTGTAGAAAATTATTATTTTTATGTTTAAATGATGCAAAGTTGCACTTAAATAATTTAAAACTTTTGACTGGGAGTTTATTTCCAATTCATCTTTCACCTTCATATCCTAGAGCTTTAAGTAATATTATACTAAAATATTTCCCTTAGAGTATTTTAACTGGGAAATTTTCTTGTCTTCCATAGCTTTCTTGGGTAACTCTGAATCAATTTAATGGTTCCTACCAAAGCCCAGCTCTTAATTTTTATTAATTTCTTTTTTTAAAATTTTATGTATTTGGTACAGGGTCTCACTGTGCAGCTCAGACTCATAGTGATCCTTTTGTGTTCAGCTTCTCCAGGGCTGGGATTACAGGCAGCGCCCCCAGGGGTGCAGCCGGTGTGGCATGCAGGACTGGGGATCGAACCCTGGTCCCTGGGCTTGCCAAAGCAGGCATTTAGTCTGCTGAGCTATCTTGCTGGCCCCCAGTTATTAATTTTTAAGACAAACCCATTCCCAAGAAACATCATCTCAAATGATCATTGTCTATTCCATAGATAGAAAGAACATGGGGGCGAGGTGTTCTAAGAAACCACGAGTTTCATGATGTTTCAGGTTATACAATATCGTAAGCTAAGAAGACTTTCAGTTTTGATCATAGAGCTCCAGTGGTGTCTGAATACTGATTCCGGATGATGCCTTGGGCTTTCAAAAGCTTCTGGACAGTGCTTTCTTCCTCATTCAGGAAGGAACACTTTTCTTCCCGTCCTGCAGGTACCTGGCTAGGACATGGGTGACCACCGGGGCCTTCCAACACTGGTCCTTCCAGAGACTTGCTTTTGAAGCTCCTTTTCACTGTGTCTCCAAATAGCAGGACCACATGCAGGCAGGCAAAGGGGACTAAAGCAGCACTTTAGAGAAGAGTATCTGCCTTTACCCGTCTCTTCTTCCAGCGTGGAAGTGCCCGAGATAGTTATAGACAGCTGCTTAGCATCCCTCTCTGTTCGTTTACATGCCTCTCCATTGTTGTGATTTTTATCTTTTAGAGCATTTTGCTGAGATGGCTGCCAGTCTCAAGCGCCCGGATTTTGGGGCCTCTGGCCTCCCTGGCAGGCCTGGTCCCCCTGGACCCCCCGGATCACCTGGAGAGAATGGTTTCCCAGGTCAGATGGGAATTCGTGGCCTCCCAGGCATTAAGGGTCCGCCTGGTGCTCTTGGTTTGAGGGGACCTAAAGGTAAGCTGTTATGTCCAGGAGAAAACAGAAACACATATGCCTTCTTTTTGGATGCATAATCCACATGCACACCCAAGAAATGCACATTTTACTGATCTCTAAATATCCCGTTAGATAAGACGATGCCTGGAAAGGGTCGAAGCTCTGACAGAAAGTTCTGTTGGTTCCGCTCGTCCCGCAGCATTAGACACAAACTAGAATTAAGCTCCCCAGGCTTTGAATACTGATCTTGCTCCACTGTGCTCTGCCTTTTTCCTTGTTCAACATAAACCTAACAGTAAACCATTGGGCTGGGACACTCTATAGTCATCCTAGAGCTTTTGTAGTTTTTTAAAAAAATTTTATTTTTATGCATTTGGTACAGGGTCTCACTACACAATTCAGACTGGTAGGGGTCTTCCTGGCTCAACCTCCCCAGTGCTGGGATTACAGGCATGTGCTGCCATACCTGGTCTCGTGGCCAGCTCAGCATGCCCAAGAATGGTGCTGGGACTGCATATGGTTCAGGGGATCGAACCCTAGTCCTTGAGCTTGCCAAAGCAGACACTTAGTCTGCTGAGCTATTTCGCCAGCCCTTGTAGAGTTTTTCTAAAATGGGCCTCCTTCAAATGTTTGTATTCGTTAAACTAACCAACTTTGTTAGCAGGACATAAGAAAAATGACATCATGTATTGGACTTGCTTCCTTTAAAAAGTGACATTCAATATATCCTTTTGATGGCTTGTTTTCACCTTTCAATTATAGTCTAACTTTATATCTTCTTCAATATATATTTAGTTTTTGCTTTTATTTAAAGCAAGCTATCTCCTTGTATCCAATATATATATTTTTATTTTATTTTATGTATTTGGTACAGGGTCTTGCTATGCAGGTTGGACTCATGATGATCTTTCTATATCATTCTCCCTGATGCTGGGATTACAGGCATGCACCATCACACCTGGTGTTGGTGGCCGGCTTGGTGCGCCCAGGTGCTGGGACTGGGGCCACCATGGCATGTGTGTAGAGATCAAACCTGGGTCTCTGCACTTGGCAGGCAGGCACTTAGATGGCTGAGCTATTTCTCTGACCCTGCCCCCAGTATTTTGCAGAACAGTAGGCTTGTGAGTGTGTAAGGAATTCTGCAAGACTAGCAGAAGAACTGATCACCTCTGCTGGCACTCACTAGTTGCAATAAGTATGTCAGCCAATGTGTGTGTGTGTGCCTTGGATAATTTATGGAGGATTAAATAAAGTGAATTTCTAGGCTATAATGAGTTACTGACAGCTCTCTAGGGGAACTTCAGAAAGACATGGCATCAGAAACAAGAAAGAGACTTTTTTTAAAAAAAAATGTGCGGTACTCCAATTAGAGATAAATATTATGGTGTGAATGGTCAGAGGGCAGGCAGGCTGCCTTTCTGGATCTATAAATGAATTGCTGATGCACTTGGCTAAGTACAGCCTTTGCTAGGACAATTTATTTAATTACTTCTTTTGGCAGGTGCAGAGCAGCATGTTAACAGCAATGATCTCTAATTGGGGGCCCTTGTAAGGCTGACACAATTTCAGAGCTTTCAGAGTTTGGGCGAATCACAGAGAGATCTCCGAGTTGTTTGTACGAAAGGCAACGGGGCATTTTCTCTAAAAGAATACCTATTCATCTCTGTCCTGCTTTTAGCTATGAGTTCAGGAAACTCTGTTAGGGGGTTCCTTTGGGGACTCCCATCCTCCTGCAGACCAACCCTAGGAAATCCTCCTGTCTTGGATGGTGGGTTGATTTCGCTGGAGCTGTGGCCCATAGGTAGTTGTATCTCTTCAGAGTAAAGATTTTCAGAAGCTGCTGGAGCATCATTGTCACTGGGGAGCTTGATAGGATTACAGAGCCTGCCACATGCCACCTGCCTGAATCAGAAGCCAGGAGGTGCTGCCTAGCAGGCCGTTTTAGAAGCCCGCTCTCGGGTGGTCTTTGCGCCCTGAGAACCTGGTGTGGAGCCCTCAGTCGCCATTTTCCTCCTGACAGGAAACTCCTCCTAGGGGCTACAGAAATCACAGCCAGAGTTTCCTTGGCTGAGGGGAAGTCTCCATTTACCTCCAAGTTAGTAACAAAATTCTCCTTTAAGGAATGAAAATGTCCTTGTCACTCGCTTCGCCGGATGAGCCGGTGTCAAGCTGTTTCCCTCAGCCTTGGCTGCACTTTGGAATCACCAGAGGAGCTCGAATCCTACTGCGTCTGGGGCCTGCTGCTAGAGTTCTGATTTAATTGCTCTGGGCATTGGGACTTGATGCGCTCCCTGGGCGGTTGTGAAGTACAGTCAGGGTTGAAAACAAAAACGAGCTGTTTGGGAAGCTTTCTGGAAGCTCTGAGGCCCAGGGACCCGTGACTCGCTGGGACTGTTTTGGCCCTGCTGGACAGAAGGACCGCCTGTGAAAGCAAGAGAAATAGATTTGTGTTTTTGGAACCTGAATGTCCCCGGAATTCACCAAGCACAACTGAATAATGACACCTTTCTCTCTCATTTTTCTCCCAGTCTTCATGACATAATATATTGGCTTAACCTTTTTCTCTAAATAGCTTTTTGTTTCTCAGGCCCCCTATCCCTTTTTTGGTCATAGAATTCCTTTACAGAAGTATATTCATTTACTTTTGCTTTTGAAATCTGAGATGGAGGCAGGGCAAATTCTTCAGATTTTCTTTCTCGATCAGTGCTGGTAACACACTTAGAAATACACAATTCTGGATAACAGAACTTACCCTTTCTTGCCACACTACGCACATGAACAGTAACAGTTATTAGGACGCATACAGTTTTCTACTACCCGAAGGTTCGCAGCTAACATTTCCCACTGGGAAAAGATAATCCCCATTTTAGAATCTAAATTTTCAGTCAATTAGAGATTTATTTTAGTGTAGTACTGTCGTACTTTTTTCCTTACATCTAGTAAGGAAGGGGTATTAGGCATTTTATTCTACCGTGTAGTCTCTTTGAGTCTTTCCTGGGAGAACTTGTTACATAAATATGAAGCTGGTTTATTGTTAATGCTTTTGACAGTTCAGGATTTATCTTAGACACTGGTTTCCTCTAGTATTGGGAAAAACACAGTGGATCATTTTCAATATGAGCTTATAAAACTATGCCTTAAATGATGGTCAAAGTTTGGGTCACACTGACTGTCCTGTTTTCTGTACTGTTCTGCAAGCATGTGGAGTCTCAGCCCACGATATGCCCACGTTTTACGTGGCTACAAGCAGAAAGTGAGAGAAAGCCCCCTGGCCTTGTGTTCTCTTTGCTTGGTGTTACATCAGGCTTGCACGCCATAGGTATCATTTGTAAACAGTCACAGTTTGGGTTAACTTTAAGTCCCTAGAAGAAGGCTGCATAACTTTAGATATTTCAGTGTGGGTCAAAGAGATGCATCCACTTCTTTGACAAAATGAAGGCTTGAGAAAATACACATCTTAACCGACTGCCACCTTTCTCAGGAATAAATAGCACAGGGAGATGGCATCAGTTACTGCTTGCCAGCGAATGAAATAAGCAGCAACTGTGCCGTGAGGAGAATTTTCACTGTTCATAATGAGCCACTCACAGTCTATTTTCCGTCATACCTGATACAAGGCTTTTTAAAAAGACACTTTAAGAATAAATTGAGGGGTGCATTTGAGACAACTCTTAGTGTATAGCTCAGGCTGGACTTGAACTCGCTGTCCCCTTTGCCTTAGTTCTGTGAAGTGCGCACTAGCACACTCAGCTGTCCTTAGGTGCATTTTATTTTTATTTATTTATTTATTTTTAATTTTATTTATTTATTTATGTGTGTGTGTGTGTGTGTGTGTGTGTGGCCAGCTCAGCCCACCAGGGGGCGGGGCTGGCTAGCATGTGGTGCTGGGGGATTGAACCGCGGTCCCTGTGCTTTGCTAAGCTTGTTCTAAGTAGGTGCTTTAGACCACTGAGCCATCTCACCAGCCCCTGCATTTTAGACTTTACATGTGGGCTAATAAATGTTGGCCATTCTGAGCTGGTTTTTGGGTAGCTCAGAAAGAAATGCAATCAGAAGTAGGTGAGTCTGGTGATCGAGCCCTCGGTGGGCTGGTTTGCTGAGGAGCAGCTGTTTCCATGGTGTGCTCTGACGTAGAACCCAGCTAAACTTTGTTTTTCTGTGCTAGATAACCAATAGAGCATCACAAGACAGCAACATTTTTTTTTTTCTCATGTATTTAGTACAGGCTCGGACGCCTAGTGATCCTCCTGTCTCAGCCTCCCCAGCGCTGGGATTACAGGCTTGTACCAGCACACCTGGCTTCTAACTTTCACTTTCAATGTGAAAGCTACATTTAATTTATACTCTTCACCTCATACCTTCAGGACAGTGACATTTGGGGATTCTGTTTTCATCCCCGATGAACAGAATCACAGTGAGGACATTTACATTGTTAAATTAGCAAGAGGGCTTAAGCTGTCAGTTTTTAGGACACTAGCTTTCATACAGTACCATAGAGTAAGGCCATTCTGATGAGGAGTGAAAACTAAAATCTGCCTTATGGCAACGTGAGTACAACCTCAGCACCATGTCCTCTCACAGGATCAGTAGGAGCTTAAATTGTGGAGATGTAGTTGATTCACCCTAAAAACATTCCCATGGGTGCTTTCTCAGCAAAATAAACTCTGGTGACTTTAAACTTTTACTTCATAATTAGGTTTCTGAGTATTTGGCTAATGTGCAGATGATTGTACTGACAGTCTATGTTTATTGTGCACCTGACTTTTTATTTTAAATTGTAACAAATGTAGCTCAAGATTGAAGAAGAATGGGCTGATCTGAGATGTTTGGGAAAAAGGATTTTGTGCAGGATTTGTGGCAGGGTGTCACTGTGTCTTCTTTTTTTCTTTGCGGTACTGGGGATTGAACTCAGGACCCTGCGCTTGCAGACAAGTGCTTATTCTACTGAGTTATCTCCCCTGGCCCACTGTTTCTTCTTAATAGTGTCAGAATAATCACATGTAGATGCTAACAATAGTAGAAGAATGCTTTCTTCTTTCTTTTTCATTTTATGTATTTGGTACAGGGTCTCACTACGCAGTTCAGATGCATAGCGATGCCCCTGTTTTCAGCCTTCCAAGCACTGGGACTACAGGCATGTGCCACTGCACCCAGACTTGGTTACTGGCTCAGCACGCCCTGGAAGTGGGGCCGGTGTGGCATGCAGGACCAGGAGTTGAACCTTGGTCCCTGTGCTTGCCAAAGCAGGCACTTAGTCTGCTGAGCTATCTTGCCGGACCGAATGTCTTCTACTAAGAACAGTACCCAGTCACTTAAGACCAGTTAAATAAAGTACCAAGGCAGTGTTCCTAATGAGGCCGGGTTTCTCGGTTTGATCTCTACAGGAGTCAGGGGAATTCAGGCAACTTTTTTGGTGCCTGCTGGATCCCCCAACTCAATCAGCTGTCTTGAAATGATTTACAAGTACGCGTGGCTGGATGCAACCAAAGCATATTCCTTAGACAAAATAAGTCACTAGTGGGGGACATGTTGACAGCTCACTTTACATTTTTAAAATTCATTAATTTATTTTTGGTAATTCTAAACTTACATTGTTCAAAAACTTGAAAATGTATGAAAGCTATTTGTGAAGAATTTCTCTCCCACTGCCGCCTCCCTTCTGCATAATTTGCTTTATTCTTTCCGCTGTGTAATTACGGCTAGTTTTTCTTCAGATATTTAGAAAGAATGACATATAAGTGCATGTGAATATCAGCGTTCCCTCCATCCTTTTAAAATCAGAATCATACTTTACTTCAGCAAGCAATCTTCATTTTTCCCTTACATCCTGGAGGTCATCCCAAAGAGTTGCCTAGCTTTTCTGCAAGCTGTATAGTGTTCCGTTCCATGAAGTACCGATATGTTTAAATTCTTTTTCTTTTGTAGCACTGGGAATGAACCCAGGACCTTAGCTACATCCCTTAGCTTCATCCTTAGCCCTTTATGTTTTGTATTTTGACACAGGGTCTTGCTAAGTTGTCCAGGCTGGGCTCCAACTTCTGAGATGACACAAGGCTATCATGAGAACAGTGTATATATTTTGTTTTTGTCCAAAATACTAACATATACTCTACCTCTAACTCTATCCTCATCTCTTTTTATGCTAGATTTCTAGAAGAGAATGGTTGTGTACAATGGAACGTCCATTGGTAATTTTTTGCCCCCCATTGGTAATTTTGGTACTGCTGTGGAATCATCCTTCATGGGGATTGTGTCAGCTTGTCCGCTCAGCACCACTGTGTGCTGCTGTTTTTCTACATGCTTGCCAAATACATGTATAATTTAATTTTGCAACTTTTGCTGGTCTTACAGGTTAAAGTAGCATTTTTGCTTTTTGTAAAGCTGTGTTTATTATGTTATGAGAGAAACTTCATGGATCTTTTCAAATACTGAAGAGCAAATTTCTTGTTAGCCTTGTGTAATTTGCTCATTTTTTATTGTGTTGTTGATTTTTTGTACTGATTTTAGGAACACTCCATAGTATGATCATAAGGGTAAGGCCTACTCCAATCTCAAGTTCTAAAATGATTCTTGCTATTTTTTTTATTCTGGTTCCTAAATATTGGATCTATTTATAATTTATCCTGGAAGTGTGAGGTATCGAGGTCTAGATCTGATGCTTTTTTACAGTTGATTGTCCAATTTCTCATCAGCATTGAAGGAACTGGATTCCCCATTTAAAGATACCAGCTTTATTAGACACTAAATTTCCCCGTGTATTTGGGCCACGTTTCAGGATTCCTCTGTTCATTTTTTTTTTTTTTTTTTTTTAGTACAGGGTCTATGGGGTCTCACTATGTAGATTGGACTTGTAGTGATTCTCCTGTTTTCAGCCTCCCAAGTGCTGGGATTACAGCTACATGCTACCATGCCCAATCTGAATGGCTTTCTCAGCATGCCCCGGGGGCAGGGCCAGCATGGCATGCAGGGGATCGAACCCTGGCTGCTGTGCTCTGCCTAAGTAGGTGCTTTAGTCTGCTGAGCTATCTGGCCAGCCCTAGGTATCTGGCCAGTCCAAGGTTTTAGGATTCCTGTCCTGGTCTATGCAGGGTCAGGGCCAGCCACACCATTTTAATTATTTAATGTCTGGCAGGACTAATTATCTTCATGTTGTCTTTCTTTCTTTCTTTCTTTCTTTCTTTCTTTCTTTCTTTCTTTCTTTCTTTCTTTCTTTCTTTCTTCTTCTCTCTTTCTATGTATTTGGTTGTTTCAGGGTCTTACTGTGCAGCTTGGACTCATAGTGATCCTTCTGATTTCAGCCTCCCCCGTGCTGGGATTGTAGACCTACGCCATTGCGCCCATACTCTGGCTGGCTCAGCCCGCCCTGGGGGCAAGGCTGGTGCCACATTCTGCTCAGGGAGGACTGACCAGTGTTTATGGTGATGTCATTTTATTGCAGAACATTTTCCAAGTCTTTTTGTATCCTCGAGAAATGTTCACTGTTTCACGAGGACTCCTGCTGTTCCCACTAGCTCAGTCCTCCTTATCTGACAAATTAATTGCTGTGGGGGTCCTCTCCACTGCCTCTTCTAACTGGTTGTTGCTGGTATCACCCAGTTATTGATTTTCATATATTAGTCCCCAGCTCGTTCACTGAATTCTTCTCTCTTGAGCAGTCATTGAGTTGCTTTTCTAGATTTTTAAAACAAATGTTTCTAGTATTTGGAAAAACAGCTGGTTTTGACTCCTCAAGCCAAATGATGCTGTTGATGGTAAAAGAGATGCTCTTTTCTTTTAAGTACTATGTTAGCTTTGGGCTCGAGACTCACATTTTATCATGTTGAGAATGTAGTCATTGATTTTATTTTGCTACTTTATTAAGCATGTGTTTTCTTTTTCGTGCAATGCCTATAGTACCTATAGTGAAGTACCTACAATAAAATATCTATAATATCTATTTTATGAAATATCTACAATATAATAGTTGATGATGTATCTATAGCCATGCTCACCTGATCTCTCCCCATTTGATTTGTTCATATGGTGAGCCAGATTTTGCCTTGTTATATTTTCTTCTATAACACAGCTTGTGGTAATTCCATGAATTTTGGTGTCTGAATTTTGTCTTTGCTTAATGTTTAGAAATGAAGAAGTCTATTTTCTAGACATATGGAAAAATAACATTTCTCTCATGAAATGCAGGTGAGATGGGAGAAAAGGGGGAGCGTGGCCCCCCAGGAAGAGGTCCCAAAGGTCTGCCCGGAACAATAGGTCTCCCAGGTAAGTGAGCTGTATGCGGGAGGGTGGAGAAATTGGTCACAAGCGTGCAGTTGAAATGGGTAACATTTTTCAAAGAGCTGCTACTCCATCACTTGGGCCCATCAAGTGGTCATAATGGCTGACAATATCAGCTTTAATGAACAGCTAATGGAGCGGTAAGTCATGCCTATGCGCTTTGCAAGAAAAGGGATGTCAGGAGTTGAAATATTAATTTTGTAAGAAGAGGCTCTAAGGGGCATAGAGCCAAGGCCAGCCACCACACCCCACTGGCTCGGAAAATCTCAGTGACTCACCTTGCACCCAGCTGTAGCCCAGCTTGTTGTTCCCTTTACTCTTGTCCTCGTTGTGCTGGACCTGAATCTGTAGCCTGGGCAAGTGCTGTGTCCTTATTTCCGAGTCTGTAAAACCAGAGTAGTTGGAAAATTAATCGATAGTTTTAGATACTCACATTGCATGAGGCGTAACTGACATTCTATTTTAAAAGTTTCTTCTTGCAAACAGCCAGATTCTTTTAAAATTCGTACTGCACCGGGATCCCCGGCCCCCCACAGACCCAAGCCTTCCTGCCGCAGTCACAAGGAACCGCGCGTGCGGGATGCTGGAGCTGGGTGCCCAGCGGCAATCGCGCCGCCTCTGAGCGAGGCGCTCTGTGTCCTTCTGTCCCCTGGCCGCTGTCACCTGGCCCCAGGCGGAACATGCTCGCCCACTATAAATCAGGCGTTGCAGTGTGGCCGGAAGCCCGGAGGCTTCCACAGGCTTCACTGTGGTGGGCACCGGTGCAGGGAGCCCTGGCCGCAGGTGACAAGGACTGCAGCAAGTGAAGCCAGGGGCTGCTCACCTCCACAATGCATCTGGGAAACATGGTCTAGCGAAATTTAGGAAGAGAAATTCTCATTTCGTAGTGCTGCCAGAGGCCCACCTGCTTAATCATGGCTCTCATTGTAGTCCAAGATGTTATTGATTTCCCATGATCTGTTTCACTGCTCCTGGGGATTGCTGTCTTATTAAATTTTTTAAAAAGAAAATATGAATACATTTGGAGATAGCTCAAACACTGTCTCTCTAGAACTGTGATTCATGGGGCTGCCAAGGCACTTTTGCAGATTAATAATTTTTTCTGATCGGAAAAGGAAATAAAATTCAGTTGGAGCTAAACAGGAGCAGAGAAGACTGGATTCACTAAAGAATTTTTGTAAGAGGACAAGGGAATAGCAGTTACTAGGGATGCCTTTCTCCTTGAGCAGGGGTTCATAGGAGGGTTTAAAACTGATTAAACAAACTAACAAACATCTGGTAAGGCAGCACTACAAATTCCTTAGGTTTATAGGCTCCCCTAGCAATTTCTTCTTTCATTCTGTTGACAAGTTACTTAATAGCTACTAAGTGAACAACTTGCACTATTAACAATGTCTTCTTTTACTGAACATATAATATTGTTTCCAGTCATTCCCATCTTCCAAAAATCTGTTGGTAAGTCACGTTTTAACTTTGAACCCAGTAAGATTCTGGGGGCGCCCACTTTGTACCCGCAGTCTGCTGTTCTGCCCGCCATGAGGCTTGCACCTGCGCAGGAGCCGTGACTCGCCGTGTGTGTGTGTGTGTGTGTGTGTGTGTGTGTGTGTGTGTGCTGCTGGCCCCACTATGCAGGGAGGGCTTTGCTGTCTTACTCTTTGGAGCATCAGACCGTCCACATGTAGATAAATGAGAGGGGAAGGGCGAACACATTGTGGAAAAAAATTGACCTAGCTGGACTAAGATTTAAAACTTCAATCTGATTTGTTGAGGCAGCATGTGGATTTTCTTCTTCTTCCTCTTGTATGGGGCTACAGGGCCTCATTACACAGATGGGACTTGTAGTGATCCTCCTGTGTTCAGCCTCCCAAGTGCTGGGATTACAGGCCCGCACCACCACACCGGGTCTTAATCTCCATCTCAGTGTGTCCCCGGGGGCTGGGCCGGCATGGCATGTGGTGCCAGGGATCAAACCCCGGCCACTGCGCCTCCCTAAGCAGGTGCTTTAATCTGCAGAGCTATCTGGCTGGCCATGGATTTCCTTCTGCCATCACTTTTGAGGCCTCCTCTCCTTTCTCTTTCCCCTTTTCCCTTCTTTTCTCCAATCCTGCACCTCCCTTCCTGGTACCATCTCCACAGTGATCGCTGTCCTTTGATTGCTGCCTGCCTCTATTTTTCTCTCACTGACCCGCTCTTCTCTTCCTGCATCTTTTCCCCAGCGAATCTCCCTCGCCCTGCTTCCTTCCAACTTTCCTGTTTTGGTGGGTGGGAAGGGAAGGCCTCAGCAGTGTTGTAGTGGAGAGGACATTTTTACGTTTGTGAAAAATTTGAGATCCAGGTTATTTTTCAAAGCAGAAAGCTGACTGTCAAAAGCACAGAGCTTGGCAAAGAAGAGGCGGGTGCTGGGTCGTTATCACTTGTCACAGGGGACTTTATCACTCCTGCCAGCTGGGGACTTCGGCTTTGTGGCCAGTTCACAGGCTTTTGTCTACACTGTGAACTTACTCTGCTAGCCCTTGCTTTCTGGGTTCCTCCTCCCCTAAAGCTGGAATTTGAGTATGGGCTATGGACCTCAGGATCCCCTTTCAGATGTGCTGGGTTCAAATCTTGACAATGACACTCACTCACTTTGTAGCATTGGGTAGCTTAATTTTCTGTGCCTCAGTATACCCACTTCCAAAATATTAATAATGATGTAGCTCTGATGGTGTCATTCTGAGAATCAAAGAAATTCAGTCCCTGTGAAGAACTTGGGGCAGCTTCTGGCCATAGGAGGTGCCAAGGACTGTTGGTTACTAGTACGGTTATTCATGTAAAAGCCCATGTGCTGCCCTTCTGGGGCAACTGAATGTGAGCTAAGGGCTCAGCAGGCCATAGTTAGGCTTTGGCGGCTTTTTGCTCTTGCCTTTGACCAGCATCATTTACATTCCACCCTTGGTCAGCACTACCTCTAAGACCCCAAACTTTTCTTCCACGAAAATTTCCTCCAACTCCAAATCATTCATGCAAAGTACTGGTTCCCTGCCAGTCATTTCACTACTTAACTGGCCCCCGAGAAGCTGGCAGGACTTAGAATATAAGACCAGAAATATGATTTATGGTCTGTCACAAGCATAATAATAACAGGGCTTTAGGAGCTGGAAGAATCTTCAGTGGTACTCGGTGGGAGCTTGACTGGAGGTGTCAAGATAAACACTTACCCGGAAGGAAGGAGCCTTCTCTGTTGCTCCTTCATTTGAATTTGGCCTCAAATCTGCCTGAATCGAATGGAGAATTAGATCCTTCTTTATATCACCATCTCTAACTTTGAAAACAAAAAGCCACCAGTGCCTTTTTTATCTACCCGCTATTAGAATGTCTTTGTTCTTTCCATGAAGTTTGTGTTTTCGTCCCACAGCAGGCTGTCTCCTGCTTTACTCGGTGTTGCATGTTCTTGCCCTTTGGGGGATGGAATGCGACAGTGCCTCACTTGGGCTGTTGGCTCTTTCCGTAACAAGGACATCCACTGTTGTTTTGGGGCCGCGTTTTGCTGCCTACAGCACCGGGAGGCTTTCTAGTTTATTTCTTACATATATTTCTTACACACATCCTCGCGGGGTTGCTCCCATTGTTGTGCACGCGTGACAACACACGCACAGCACCTAGGACCGTGCTAGCAAAGGTGCACAGTGCACATTTCGCTGTTACTCTTCTTTTTATATTTGAGGAAACACAGACAGACACAAGGCACACGCCCCAACGGAGGCCCCTGGGTGACAAGCAGTGGAGGAAGAGATCCAGTCTTCTGGGCTCCAGCTTCCTGCAGGAGACAAATCGATGGGTTGTTTCTCTGGGAATATAGTTCCATTGCACCCCTGCTCCTGTGGCTGGCCGTGGCCCTCCCAACCCATGCCTTACTGCCTTCTCTGCCCCTGTCCCTGAGCTGAGGAGCAGGTCAGGCCCCCACTACGCTCAGTTTCTCACCAGAGGCCAGTTCGTGTCATGCCCGGCTGTGTGTCTCATTAAGAAACCCTCTCCAGGCCAGCCACATAGCCCAGTGGACTAAAGCGCCTGCCTAGGCAGAGCGCAGTGGCCAAGGTTCAATCCCCAGCATGCCATATGCGCCCTGCGCCCGGGGGCGCTGAGACAGTGGTTGAGACTAGGTGTGGTGGTGTGTACCTATAATCCCACTTCTTGAGAGGCTGAAAACAAGAGGATCACTATGAGTCTGATCTATGCAGTGAGACCCCGTAGACCCTACAGACCCTGTCCTAAAAAAAAGAAAAAAGAAAAAAAAGAAGAAACCCTTTCTGTTGGCTGCCAGGGGACCTGCCTTGGTGGGACCAGTACCTTGGTACTCTGCAGATTAAAATGGACCATCCTGACCACTTTGTGCACTCAAATATATTAGGAAAAGAAGTAAATTTAGCAACAGGTGAGAGAGAGAGAGAGAGAGAGAGAGAGAGAGAGAGAGAGAGAGAGAGAGAAACAGCTGGAGAGTGTGCGACTTGTGAGCCAAGATGTTTCTCTGGCCTTAGACACAAAGGATGCTCTCGGCCTGGTGCTGGGCCACACTAGATGATGAGACCAGTCTTTTTTTTTTTGTTGTTGTTGTTCATTTTTGTTTGTTTATTAGCGTATGTTTGCAGTATATTGTATGTCAGTTGCAATCCTACGGTGTGTTGGTGCATACGTGCAGCACAGCTTGCTTTTTTATCCTCTTTTTTTTTTTTTTTTTTTTAATTCTAGGAAAGGGTGTACAGGGTCTCACTGCGTAGATCAGACTTGTAGTGATCCTCTGTTTTCAGCCTCCCAAGAGCTGGGATTACCAGTATGCACCACCACGCCCAGTCTTAATCACCATCTCATTGCGCCCCAGGGGTGGGCCTGGGGGTCGAACTTTGGGCCCTTGTGTCTGCCTAAGCAGGCGCTTTAATCCGCTGAACTATTTGATCATCCTCTTTCTCATTCCTCCCCTCTGCCTTGATCTCTTGGTCCTAGCCCATTTT